CTGAGGAATGGATACAGAAAGTATGGTACATCTACACAATAGAATATTACTCAGCAATAGAAAACAAGGAAATCATGAAATTTGCAGGTAAATGGTGAGAACTGGAAAGGATCATCCTGAGTGAGGTATCTCAGAAGCAGAAAGACACACACAGTATATACTCACTCATAGAGCCATATAATATAAACCTACTAAAATCTGTACACCTAAAGAAAATAATCAAGAGGGAAGAACTCTGGCTAAAATGCTCAATCCCCATCCTGAAAGGCAAAGAGGATGGACATCAGAAGGAGGAGGAAACAGGGATCAAGTTAGGAGCCTGACACAGAGGACCTCTGAAAGGCTCTGCCCTGCAGACTATCAAAGCAGATGCTGAGACTTATGGCCAACCTTTGGGCAGAACGCAGGGAATCTTATGAAAGAAGTGGGAAATAGTAAGATCTGAAGAGGACAGAAGCCCCACAAGGATAGCAACAGAACCAAAAAATCTGAGCACAGGGGTCTTCCCTGAGACTGATACTCCAACCAAGTAGCATGCATGGACATAACCTAGAACCCCTGCACAGATGTAGCCCATGACAGTTCAGTCTCCTAGTGGGTTTCATAGTAATGGGAACAGGGACTGTCTCTGACATGAACTGATTGGCCTGCTCTTTGATCACCTCCCCCTGATCACCTCTGGGGCAGCCTTACCAGGCCCCAGAGGAAGACAATGCAGCCAGTCCTGATGAGACCTGATAGACTAGGATCAGAAGGAAGGAAAAGACTTCCCCTACCAGTGGACTTGGGGAGGGGCATGTGTGGAGGAGAAGGGAGGGAGAGGTTGGGAGGGGACTACAGGGGGGATACAAAGTAAATAAAGTGTAATTAATAAAAAAATTAAAAAAGAAATAACATACTAATTAAAAAAATATCACTTTTAGGGTTTAATCTGTGGTTTAAGATTTAATAGTTCTTGCTTTTATGAAATGGGATGAGCCTGTATTTGGTTTTTAGAATTTTAATTTTCTCTTGATGATTGTTCCTTTGATCAGTATCAAGTGCCCTGTTTGTTCTGACCAGTTTTAGAGTTTATTTTGTCAGCTATTAGAAGAAAGCAAGCTCTGCCTGTCTAGTTCCATTTGCTTGGAATGCCTGCTCTTACCCTGAGACAGTGCTTATCCTTAATGGACGGCAGCAGAAAGAGGGGCTCTGTTTTCTAGTCCATTTGCTAGTCTGTTGGTCTGTTTCTTTGCCTCTCAATTTTTATGCAGTCTTGGCTGTCCTGAACTATCTAGATTAGGCTGGCCTCAAACCCGCAGAGGTCCACGCGTCTCTCAAGGGCTGGGTTAATACTCAGCTATCACTGGGAAGACATGTATTGCTCCTGGCATCTTGCGCGACGGCCATGACTTTTGCAGCTTTGTCTGGTACCAAAGTTGGCACAAATTTTTTATGACTTCAAAATGGCGTTTGTACTGCAGAGCTGAGCGATGCCATCGTTTCTTTTCAGTTTTCACTTTCCCTCTTTGGCTTACCTGAATTAGTGTCAGTACTCTCCCACTCTGGGGGCACTACAGTGAAACAAAGGTTGCATGAACAAAGGTACGAAGGGAGATACGATGACAATACAGTATACAGTAACCAAGACAGTTACTAAGTGACTATTGGGCAAATAGTGCACCCAGTATGGATCCATTACACAAAAGGGTGATTCCCATTCTGGGCTGAACGGAGAAAGGTTATGCAGGACTTCATTATGCTACTCTTACTGGCATGCAACTCCTGGAACTTTCCACCTCATGTTTTCAGGCTGACTATGACACCGTAAGATACTGCAAGCTTCTACCAACCAAACTTTTATCCAGTTGAGCAACACACTGCTGGTGCTTCCGACTCCACTTCTTCCCAGGATCCTCTTCTGTGGCTGGTTACTGATAATATTTCTTCACTCAGGGAGTCAAAACAGAAACACCACAGAACACTTGCCGTTTACATGAACAAACTCAAAGACAACAGAATGAAGAGCAGGTGAGAAGGGAAACAGGAGAAATAGAGTATCTTGATATTAAAACTGACGGACAAAAATGAGCTACTTTCAAGAGGCTGCAGAGACGGTTTAGTGGCTAAGAGCACCTGTAGGCCTTGCAGATAACCCCGTTTTCATTCTCAGCACAGAGTGGCTCACAACCATCTAGGACTCCGGGATCAGAGCTCTGATAATCTCTTCTCACCTGTGCGCACTGCACACACGATGCACACAAACTCCTTCACGCTCAGACACGTGAATAAAAATAAACTCATTCATGCTCAGACATATATGTGAATAAAAATAAATGTATCATAAAACTAAGTTGTTCTTACTTTAATTTTTGTTTTTTTTTTGTTTTTAAGACAGGGTTTCTCTGTGAAGCCCTGGCTGTCCTAGACTTGTTTTGTAGGCGAGGCTGTTCTCGAACTCAAGAGATCCTCCTGCCTCTGCCTCCTGAGGGCTCAGATTAAAGGCGAGTGCCACCACGCCCAGCTACTTTTAGTTTCCAGTAACGTCAAACTATTAAAAACTTTCATCATCAACAGAAAAATGTTTACTCTTCTCAAACCTGGAGGACTTGTGTTTAGGTGATCAAACTTTCCCCACACTGATTGCTTTTTAAAAACCTGAAATAAATTGTGATTTTTGATTTGCTTTTAAGAAAAATATAGAAAAAGGTGCATGAAGTTACCATCTTATAGGTCCAAAATGGTTAATACAGACAATTCCATGTCTCATCCAACAGATGCGTGGGCTGAGGAAGCCGACATCTGGAGCTACTTATCTGTGACAGCAAAGTGGAAAATGCCAGCTTGTTCACTCAGCACTCAAAAGACTTTATGTGACCTGTTTTGAGCAAGAGAGCCTTTTGATGGCACTTTAGGATGCTGCCTCTGATACCCTAAGATAAAAAAAAAAAAGTGTAACAAATCGGCATTGTTGACTCTTGAGGTGGCACTACTGTCCGCAGGCTTTAGCTGTGACAGGGCTGTAATGTGTGCGAGGGCCCCGAGCTGGACATTTGCTTGAGAGAAGCAGAAAAATGTTTCCAGAGTGTGAGTCACAATAGGTGATTATAGGAACTGACTCAGGATAACGATGTTATTAACTAGGGAGGGGAAGTCGGGCGGTGGGACAGGCAACTTCCACGCTATGACTTTTTGTGCTGCTTGGATGTTATCAATGAGGATTTTTTTTTTTTTTAAATAATACTTGTACAGCATCACAAAAGCAAAGAGCCTCTGCTTTAACTGAAAGATAGTTTAACAGATGAGCTGGTCTAACACACTGATAGCCAAGTCTGTTCTGCAGGCCTTTTACACTTACAAGGACTAGAGAGGATGGTGTACTTGCAGACATGCTCATTTCTAATGTTCTCAATCAATTTGCTTTAGGTTGAAGTATTTAGCTTTTAACTCAGTGTGTGTGTGTGTGTGTTATTTAATTGTTGTTGAACACAGAATGAACACCTTGTTTACATGAGCTACAGGCGACGACTTACTTGTCATTCTGGACTTTGATTCTCCTCAGACAGAACTCCAGCTCCTTGCTCCTTAGTGCTCACCAAATACTTTACTGCACTACAGCTCAGGCTGATGTGTTCGTGTGGTTATTTTTCTGGATACAGAAGGCTGAACCTCTATAAGAAAGGGGAAAGTTAAAGTGTAGACATAGGCTGAATTTTTTCCAGGCAAGATCAACATACTGAGTTTGTAAGATGTAATTCCACACAGACCAGCTTCTGAGTCTGGGCATTGCTGACACTGAGCAGGTGATGATTTGTACACTGTGTTTACAGCAGCCCTTGCCTCTTTACCAGCTAGGTGCCCACAGCCCTTTCCTAGCTGTGCCAATTCTTCAAGCTGGCATCTCCTGCGGGACAAAAATCACTTCCAATTCACAAACAGTGGGATAAATTGCCTGTTGATTTTTTGGACTTTGTAATGTCCTGTGGCCCAGATAGTTCTACTTAGTATTGAGTTATCAATGGCAGCTCAGAGCCAATGTATTTTTGTATGTGAGTATATAAACCTCTCTGCCTCTGTTTTACTTTTGAGATCCACTGAGAAGACTGGGTAATTGAATTCTCTGAAATGCCATCACTACATCTGACCTAGCACTGTACTCTAGTGCCAGCCAAATGAGGTAAAACAGACCTACACACACACACACACACACACACACACACACACACACACACAGTAATCAAGAGACAACTAACTGTTCTGTTTGTAGTTAGATTCCAACAAAAATCTATGAACAAACTATTAAAACTGACTTTCAAAACAGTTGCTGGATATAAGCACCTTATGATAGCATTCTCAGAGAGAAAGTAAGAGAAAACGAATAAAAAGTCAAAGCAAAAACAAATTTGCTAGATATACAAGACCACTAAGAAGAAAGCTGAAATAAATGGATAGACATTTCATGAACAGATAAACTTTAAAAATATGTTAAGTCTCAGACTAATCTACAGTCCAGTAGTGATTTCATTACACTTGCCAAGCAGATTCTAGAGACAGGGTCGAAAACAGGTAATGTGATTCTGAAGATGCAAAAGACACAGTCATACAGTGCTTAAGCAATTTGGTATTGGTTTAGTGACAAGCAAATTATATAGTAAATTGGACCCGGAGACCTATGCATTTATGGAAAACTGATGTTGATCAAGGTAGCAGGTCAGGCTCATCTCCTGGAGAGCTGTCGTGCTCGTTTGGTTCCTATAAAAACCCCTGAGTTTTCAAAGGTCACCGAGAAGGGGAAATAATGATTGAAAACCGAGTTACGGTTAGACAGGGCATATATGTGTATATGTGTGTACACACACACACACACACACACACACACGGTTATATAAGGCAGAACTCACAAGGGACAGCATAACCTACCTTAGCACAGGTACTTCTGTACTTCTACAGTACAAGCTCCAAACCAACAGCGCTAATTGCACTTGAATACAAATACTGGGAACAAAACATCACACAATCTATAATTTTAAGCCATTTATTTCAATAGAAATTTCAGAAAACTGTTCGTAAATTCATTTTACGTTAGCTTATGCAAACACACCGAAGATCACATACTCACTTCTGCATATTAAAAAGAAACAAAACCAGAGAGGGAACCAAGTCGCACATCACTCAAGGAGGTCATAGTGCAAGTAAATGCTTCATCATTAAGTACCTTAAGTTAACTGGGACAATAAATGAAAACGGCTTGTGTGGTTTTGTGTTTTGTTTTGGGTTTTGTATTACTAGCTTTGGGTCATTACCCTAATAGATGTTTGAATCCTTCTTCCACGTTTCTTCAATGGGCTGTCAAAGAGTGAACATCAACAACCAAGGGGTAGAAACACTTGATGGCGATTCTATCAGCTATCTTTGTCACACCCATTAAACCAGTGCTTCTTGGAAACATTGTATTAAGGGTGACATCTTCAAGGACATGACATTTGTTACCTGGCATTTAAGTTTGAAATATTCTGCTAATGTTTGGCATTTTCTTCCTTCCTATTTCCAAGCACTCCCTGGATTCCTTTAACTCTATTTTGCAGACCAGTTGGCTGAAATCAGATTTTAGATTATGCTAATAACTGTCAAGAAACAGCTAACTCTTTCCTGGAGTCCAACGACCACGTGCACCTACATGTCTTCTCTAAGGGCCCTGAAAACAGCATTCCTGCTCAGACAGACGACAGTGTCTCCTGGCCTTCCAATGTCCTAAAACAAACTTCCAGCTTTGGCCGAGAAACCTTTATTTATTATTTATTGATTTGATTTGTTATTAGTGCTGCTCCTTTTTTGCACGCTCTCAAGCAAGCAATAACCGGTAGGATGAGGGAGCGCTTGTCCACTCTGCTTAAATAGAAAATAAGCTTCACTTCCAGCGAAGAGACTGCCACCACAGCACCACCCGAGTAAACTGCGAGGCCTTCCACGTGCATCTCATCCCTTTAGGATTTTCCCAAACGGCCTTATTGCCAAACCCAAGCTCAACACAACACGAAATACAAATATCCTCAGCTAGTTGGTGGTTCTTCAAAGCCAACATTAAGAGGCTCGTCAAAACTGTGGATCTATTGTTAACCTACTTGGTCAAGAGAGCAATAGGGAGGGTGGGTTATTTGAAAAAAAAAAAATTAAGATTGGAGGACTGCAAGTATCCAGATGTCTACGCAGTCTTCTTCAGGACTGTGCGATTAAGCAGGGAGAGAGGGCCTGCACACCACTCACGCCAGAGGGTTAAGAGGGCAGGTGATTTTAGCCATCCTCAATGCCCTAAAACTGGTCTTCAGGTTGATAAGGCACAGACCTAATTTTCTCCATACTATGACTGGACATAGGTAAAATGCAATTGCTGTCACTGAGCTGAAGAGCCAACTTCCACATATCTCTTCAGTAGAATTCTCGAATTGAAAAGTGATTTTAGACAGAAGCTATTTTTAGGGAAGGAAACCTAAAAGGTACTTAAGTCATTTCGAAAAGGTTCACATGTAATTTGTCAATACTACTTAATAGCAATTTTTATGTCTCAGAGGCAAAATAAAAATAAAAAAAGCAATACCCTCCCGGCTGTACAACCAGGATGGCACTATGTTTCTAAAAAAATAATATAGAAGAAAATGGCCTCGGGCCCTAGAAGGAGGCTGCAGGCAGACACACCCACCACTTGCTCTGCGGCCCTCCGGGCAGCAGCGGTCCCGACTGCTGTTATCCCAGCACGGTGAATCAAGTTCAGCTGTTTTCAAAAGGACCCAGTTCTTTGAAAAGCCTGGGGGTAGAGGATTTCCTCTGATGATAGCCTATCTTCCACTGTACGATACTGGCACCTCTTATTTGCAGAAGGTACAAAGATGGCTTAAAACCCACTTAGAAAGGAATGTGCCTCATGAACCACGAAGGAAACCAACAGAGGATGTGTTATCTTAACACGCCAATGAGTTAAGTCAATTAGTACTGATTCCAATCAATATGATGCCTCACAGTTTTAAATATATATAATTTGCAAATTTAACCTCAGGAAAAAGGGCTGTATGCTGAAGTCATCTGGACAGCTAAACACTAATAGTTCTGAGATTGATGAGGCTGCACTCAGAGGGACCCATTTCAACTATCAAGGGCCCTATGCATGACTCCATTCCTCCTGAATAACAATGTGCTTGTTGGGCTTCTGTGTAAGTCTCGAGGAAGAAAGAGGCCACTCATCAAAACTCTGCAGCTATGAACGTCCTGACTGACCAGACATCAAGACCCAACAGCAACAGAACTGTTTACACAGAAAACATGGTTGCCATCAAAATACATGCGTAAGAAGAGAGAAAAAAAATATACAATTCCAAATTGGATCCTTCTTTGAATTGTTTACACAAATACACACTGAACCAAACCAAACAGAAAGATGTATTTCATCAATTCTCTTTTGATCCTTACAGTTAGGTAGTATATGGAGAACATTATGAAAAGCGAGCACATGAAGCCTAAAACAGTGCTTGGAGCGCTATGCAGTCATTTTCATAGGTACACTTTAAAAACCAACTTATGGAAAAGAAACCTTCACATTCAAATAAGTTGTCAGATGAGCTATGGCCAGTGCTATTCACTGTCGCACCAGGACAAGAATGCTCTGTCCAGCCTGCTTATAAACCAGCTTAATTTAAATCTTAACTGAATTTCTAAAGAGTTATCCTTGGCTATGACATAAACAAATGAGCTTTAATGTTCATGGAAAATGAGCCAGTGAGTCACTAATTTATAACTGAGGGTAGGTGTAATAGGACTCATTCCCCAATAAAGGACTCAAATATTTAACATAGTTTGGCAGTGGTTTTTTTTGCTTCAATTATCTGATACCATTTTGTGAATTATAGATTAAAAAACTCACCTACTTTAACTCATCTCTCTGTTTCCAAAATTATCCTGAACAGCAATGACTGATCTTCAGAGCAAATTCAAAGGTAGAAAAATAGTTTTAGTTTCAGCCAGAGGCCACGATGCTAACGCAGACTGGCTAACCGAACCTGAACAGGGTTCTTCTCTACACACCTGTGTCTAGAGGTGGGTGTAGCAAACACGGCTTCCATCTCAGTGCTTTGTCTTTGGCAAAACTGTGAGGCCAGCCTCAGCTAGCTGACCATCTCCACAGATTAGATTCACCTACAATGTAGCTTATTTATGACAAAGTAGTAATAAAATAGCCACAGGATTTTCATTCACAGTATCTCAAAAACAGCATGCATACTATTTAAAATATTATTTCAGGAGCAAAATAAACTAAAGAATTGCTTAAAAAAAAAAAAAAAAGAGGCCAACGAAAGTAAGATGTGCAAGGTCGACACTGTAATACTGCTGGCTACACGGTAAAGTCTGCGTAGACCCAACATGGGGTAAGCTTAGACCATTATTTGAAAAATCATTCTGCATAGGCAACACTTGCCTTCCCCTGCTTGGCAATGAAACCCCAAATAATGTATTTTTGTCACATGACACACAGATTTCAATTATTTAAATTAGAAACACTTAGAAAAGGCTTTTTGCTTTCTCTCAGACTGATTTCCTTTTTAGCTAATTATTGTACAGACAGCATTTTCTAACTAAGCTCCATGGACATGATCAAAACTTCTGATAAAATACATTCTGATACAATTCTTTAAGGATACAAATGTGAGAAATTCACACGAGACGTGAAGAAAAAGCACTTTGTTAGGAGGTACCTGTCAGTCAAGGCCTTCCCACATGGCCCTACCAGTAAGAGGCATAACCCATAGCAGTCTACTGAAATGGTGTTTGGCTAAAATTGGCTAAGCTATACCAGGTGCAACACTCACTGTAAGCATTGAATGTGTTACTGCCTAGTGCTCTCTCAAAATTGCTGGGTCAGTTACTAACAAAGCATGGTTTTTAGGTTGGGAACCGACCAACTTTCTGAAAAAATGTTCTGGGACATTTTGGGAAGTCATACAAGAGAAGGTTTTATATTTTTAACTTCCAGAACTGCAAACTTTGCCTTTATTCTTCTTAAAATTGTTTCATCTTACAATAAAATACATACACATACATGAAGAATCTTTTAAACAAGTATGCTTTTGAACCTCACACTGAACAAAAAACAAATTCAATTAAAAAAAAAATAAGTCTGGCACGATGCTGTTACACATTGCAAAGGGCGGGGTATGCCCGTGACCGTGACCCCTGTGGCCGGAGAATCCACACGCTTTGAGAAAAGCTGCAGAAACCGCAGCTTGGGATTACCGTTCTCTTAGGCAGGTTTGTGGCCCAGCAGTGAATTCACATAGGAAGTTAAACGTGAACCCCAGTTAGAAACAACCATGTTTCTGGAGCCTGCTGGCACGTGAACACTTGGCCTCCGTGCCTCCTGCAGATCATGCTCTCTGTCTAGCACTGAATTCCACATGGTAGTGTTGAAACAGATCCCTCATCCAAATAACACGCATCCCATCCCAAGCCAACCCACAGCTTACATCATCACCACCACCTCACTCCACATCTTGCAGTGGGAAACTTGAGGAGCTGCTCTCAGAGCCTGAGCAGACCCTGTAGGTAGGGGCTGTTGGCTGCTCCTCACAGGTGCTCTCCCCGCACCTAAAACAGCTCCTGATGGAATCCATAAGAAATGTTTTTCCTTTTTAAAGTGTATCTAAAAAAGATGGTTTCCCCTCCAAAATTAGTACAAAGTTAAAAGAAATGCAAATTAGCTACAATTTATTCCAAGCACAGCACCGCCAGAAGATTCACACGCACTATTTGGTGTTGGTTTTCCTCTCACTCTGTTAAGGCAGTGGTTTCCACAGGTCAGTTTGGAGATAAGAAGCATAGTTCATGGCAGTTTGTTTTGCAACTCCAATTTGTTCTCTGGGAATATCTCACTTTATTCCCTGAAATTAGTGCTTTTGGTTCTGAGCTCCGGAGGCTGGGCTGGAGCCTGGGGGCTCTTCCTGGCACGGGATGGTGCAGCTGGGGCTCTCGGCAAGTCCTTGCTCCACATGGGAACAATGGTATACCTCTTCTTTCTCAGGCTTTTACTCAAAAGTCATCAAGTTTGTAGGAACCTAAAAAAATACAAGCAGCCCACACTGGCTGTTACCACTCCAAGCTGACTGCTTTTAGCTGTTTTTTTCTAGCCCCTGAATACAACTGTCACTATGTCCTAAAGTGATTTTTAACCCCCAATTCACTCTGGGATGAGGGTTATGCAACTTGAAATTTAATACATAAACTGTATTATTATACACGGAATACAGGGTTTCTTGTTAAGCTGTGTTCCAACAATTTATATAAAACTAAATGAGTTAAATTCAGCATTTATTTTGTCCTGTGATTTAGTCAAACTCAAATCATTCTAACCTATGTATCTTTCTTGAGACAAGGTCTCAACTTTGCAGCCCATGCCAGCCTTGAACTTGTGAGTACTGGAAATGGAAGCACACGGTTTAAATATCCTTTAAAAGGAATCTGATAGCAGATGCTTCAGAGATTTAGACCAGTGAGTCTGGCATGCCTGATCATTTTAGGAAATCACCCAGTTAAGAAGCTTTCTCCAGTAGATGTACCTGGACAAGAGGAAGGAAGGACACAGGAGTTTTCATCCCTTACAGGGGCCTAATGGATGTTTACTGAAATAAATAAATGAATCAAAGAAACATGGCAAAACTTTGTAGAAGAGAATTTCATACATTATAATCAATTTCTCTATGTACATTTAAAAAAAGCTACACTTAAGAGTCTTACAGAAAATATGAAGTACCGACTCCTCAATAAAAACATAAAGAGTCATATTTACTAATAGGCAAAATTATCTGACATTTTCTGACTGAAAGATAAACAGGTTATACATGTATCAGTTTAGCACTTTGAGCTTGCACTGTACTTAATTTGATTTCTTGCAAGTCTGAATTAAAAAAAAAAATTGTGGTGCTGGGGATGAAACTGAGAGGCTTGCCAATGCTGGTCAAGTATCTTATCATAGGGTATACATAACTCCAAAACCCAACGACTCTCTGCCGAAGGACTACGGAGGGTTCACTGAGCTAGCCCAGGCTTCCCAGTGTCGGCAGTGCTGGGCCGCCAGTGGTCGCCTCCTTGCCCCTCAGTGGCTCAGCAGCTCTCACACGCCAGCAGGCATTCTAGCAAATCTGTTTACCCCCTGGAGCTGGAGTTACAGGTAGATGGGTCCCCAGATATGCCTGATGTAACTTGACCTCCAGTCTTCTTCACGAGCGTTGAGAACTCTTAACCACTGAGCAATCTCTCCAGCCCCTCACGCCAGCTTTTGCATAAAGAAGTCTACTAGATAATGTCGTAACTGAGTTATAATTCCAATGCTCACGTGTTTAAGTTTCATTTACTGTGTCTGTCTAAAACACGGACTTCACGTCTTACTGACCGCCATGATCGGCTGGCTGTGCTAGTGCACGCACACAACCCCAGCACACTAGTGCTGAGGCAGGAAGGTGACAATTTTGAGGCCAGCCAGGCCAACATGTTAATGGACCTGTCTGTTAAAGGTTACAGATTCTGAGGAGGAGGGGGAGGGGGGAGGGAGGAAGAAGAGGAGGAGGAAGAGACGGTCACCTGTTGCTTGTTACTCTGGCAGGCCGCACTCAAATGCTTAAACCACAGCATTGCATTCATCCTGCTGCCAGCTTGAAACTTGTATGAATTTCCTAAAATAACCAAAAGCAAGCAGAAAACAATAAAATTAAAGACTATACCACAGAATACTCCTGCCACGTATGAATGAAATATGACTACAGAGCTCAGTTTCAGAATTCTGTTCATTTAACTTGATTTCCGAATGTGGAACTTTTTGTGCCGTAAGCGAATATGATCTTATTTAGAAAGTCACCTAAATGTTAACCACAGTACTGTGTGCTTCTGTAGCTATGTCTGCAGAACACCGTCATGCCCACCCCTTACTGTGTACTCAATCTATTCTGCCCATGCCAGGCAAGCGCTATATCCTCAGACCCCAACCCTGGCTCTATTCTGCAGAGACTCATGCTCTAGGGACTCAGAGCCTACACTCAGCAGCGGCCCGTGTTTCCTTTGAGAGTCTACTCAAGAACTCTATAGTTTCAGAAGCTGTTGTCTTGTCTTTGTGGAGTGGTCATAAGATGTATTAATCCTGCTGTTTGCTGAACTGAGATGCAAGCATAACTATTTAATCTGAATAAAAAAAATCTGTAACTGCATTAGTCAAGCGCACAATTTACATTAGTAAATAAGAATGCTAGTATGGACCATAAAAACCTTGTTTACTCTGAAATATTTCTATGAAGTACGCTACAAAAATGGAAGGAAACCAAAGAATTTGTTAGCAAAACTCAATAAAAGTGATCCCATTTTAAAAAATGCAATTTTATGATGAATGCCCAAGGGATTCTTAAAAGAACGGAGAGTAGGGCATTCTTCCTAAGTCGATTTACAATCACTGAGAAATTTCATAATTCTTTTCTTGCATCTAACATACATTTAATTTTTTTCTTTAAAGCTGTAATACACAGAAAGCTGTCTGGTAATACAAAAATCACACCTGGTAGACGTAAACACACAGCTGTGAAGGTAAAGGTAATCTATTTCAGTAAGAGTTGCTGAGTGGATGATTCGGGCCAGATGTGCCAGAACTTTGCACACGAAGTCCTATGTGGTGGCTGTCAGCAGCAGCTGGTCATTGTTCTGAAGGAAGCTCAGCAACTGACAGGGACTTTCTGTGACCTATGAGAGCCACTGAGGGTGCAGCAGGCCAAGAAGCATGATTCTGACAAGCCCACTCTCCAATTTTTCTCACTTCTCAAACGTTCTAATGAATGTTTCCACATATTACATATAAGATATTTAATTTTAGAAAGGGACCTGAGGCAAGCAAGCAATTAAAGTAACAATAAAAGTTACGTATGGCAACAGCTTTCTTCAGAGCTTGTGAGTGACTGTTACTCTGGGCACAGATGATGGTGCGCTCTGAATTACGTATAGCAAGCCCCTGTTCAAAGTCATGGTATGCAGAATCCATGGTCCGGACTACCTGGGCTTCTAACTTAAGTTTAAAACACAATATAGAATACACACATGCAATTCCTCAAACATTTCCTTGCTGAGCCAAGATCAGGCTCAGGAGTTAGTGCCTGCAGGACCTTTTACTAATCGGACACCTCACCTTTCTCGGAGTCAGTCAGCAGAAAGAGGTCTGGATGCTCCGGATCATCAGCCATCATTACCATCCATCCCACCACAGACACATTCTTATTTGATGTTGATTTGAACTGAGGTGACAGATAAGAAGAGAAAGCAGAGATGATCTTTACTTTTGCAGCCAGTTCTCAGTCAAAGGCAAGTGTTAAAGAGCTCATTTTCAGTGTGTCCTTAGGAGACAAGATGTGTGACTTAATGTAGCTCAGGTCAGCCTCATGTCCTCTTTAGGTAGCCTCCCACTGTGAAGTCAACCCCAGTGTCTACTTTCATCACACCCACACTGTCCCACTCTCCATTTCCAAAGGGCATGCCTGTGAATCTGTGGTTTCTTCTAGTCCCTTAGAGACACAGCTGTCTCCCAACACCTGTGCTCTTCAGCCCGATATCTCATACTCCATCAAGGCTATCAGACAATTACTTGTATTTCACAATACCAAGAAAGACTTAAAAAATAAAAGGTATTTTAGCATGTGAGTTACTTTTATAGTTAACCATTCTCTTCTGTTGAGAAAAGGGTAAAGGCACAGGAGCTCCACAAGGAGAGGAAAAAAATTTCTGGGCCCAGGGATATTTTCTGAGACTGATACTCCAACCAAGGACCATTCATGGAGAAAAACCTAGAACTTCTGCACAGACGTATCCCATGGCAGCTCAGTATCCAAGTGGGTTCCCTAGTAAGGGGAACAAGGGCTGTCTCTGACATAAACTCTTTGATCACCTCCCCCTGAGGGTGGAGCAGCCTTACCAGGCCACAGAGGAAGACAATGCAGCCAGTCCTGATGAGACCTGATAGGTTAGGATCAGATGGAAGGGGAGGAGGACCTTCTCTATCAGTGGACTGGAGGAGGGGCATGGGTGGAGACAAGGGTGAGAGGGTGGGTTTGGGAGGGGACAAAGGAGAAGGCTACAGTTGGGATACAAGTGAATAAACTGTAATCAATAAAAAAAAATTTAAAAAAAGAAAAGAAAAGGGTGCTATAAAGAGCAGAAAATAAGGCTGATCTCAGTAACATAAATAAAAAATGTTTAAACACTGGCAACATAGACTTAGCAATATGTAAAAAAACAAACAAAAACCTGCCAGAAGTCACAATACACAGTAAAAGTCAAACTGAATTAACACTTCCACCATGTAATTACTAGTGGAGTATGGCTTGGTTAAGTGAAGAACTTTATTAATTAAAATAAGAAAAAGCAACAAATTTACATAAGTATTGTAGAAGAAAAAACACAAAAATCATGAAGTTCACTAAGTAACTAACATTACTAACTAAAGATATGATTTACTCATATAAGCAACCAAGACCAAAGGGAGTTTCATTCCTGGTGACCAGAAAACTTAATTTGCCTTGTAAACTCAAATATTTACCAATAGAACAAATACATTATGACAAATTCATGAAATAGAAGCCTACTCAGCTATGAAAAAGAAAAATTACAACTCTAGGCATCAAAAATAACTTGCAACAGTATAAGGTAAAGGACGTGCTCTTCAGAATGCACATGCATGGTCCTTGGTTGGTATATCAATCTCTACAGGATCCCCTAGGCCCAGGTCTTTTTGGCTTTGTTGGTCTCCTGTGGAGCTCCTGTCCTCTCCTGATCCTTCTATCCCCTCAGTCTTCCATAAGACTGGCTGCACTCTGCCCAAAGTTGAGTCTCTGCATCTGCTTCGATCCCCTGCTGGGTGAGTCTTTCAGAAGAGTCTATAGGACGGTCCCCTCCTCTTCCTGGTGTCTATTTGCCCTTGTGTATGAGGATGAAGCATCCTCCCTAGGGACCTCCCTGTTATTTAGCTTCTTCAGGTCTGCTCAGATGTAGCGGATAGGCACCTCAGTCTCCATGTGTGTCCCCTAGTAAAGGAAAGCAGGGGCTGTCTCTGACATGAACTCTATCGTCCACTCTTTGATCACTTTCCCCTGATGGGGCGGCCTAGACAGGCTACAGAGGAACAGGACCCAGGCAGTTCTGATGAGGCACTATAGGCTTGGGTCAGATGGTAGGGAAGGGGGGCTCCCCCTGTCTATGGACTAGAGTTGGGTAATAGAGGAGCAGAGGGAGGGAGAGTGGAACCAGGAAGAGACAAGGAAGGGGGCTACAACTGGGATATAAAGTGAATAAATTTAAACAGAAAATGAAAAAAAAAATCAGCGTAATTTCTGAAAAAACAAACAAACAAACAAACAAACACAACAACAAACAAACAAAAAGCCCCCAAAATAATGCACATGCAGCTGGATGGGGTGGTGCACACCTTTACCAAAGAGTTCCAGGACAGCCAAAGCCACATAGTGAGACCCCGTCTTAAAAAATGTATATACAACCCCCTTAAGTGCACTTAACAACAACAAAACCCCGAAAGATGTAGCAAACTTCCAGGTAATAAATGGGCTATTGAAAGGACAGCCAGTTACCAAAATATAAAAATACAAATAAATAATCTAAAATGTGTTTAAAATCCTTAGCCACTAGGGCAGTGGTTTTCAACTTTCCTAATGCTATAATCTGTAATGTAAATTCTGGATTCTTTGTAAACTCAGTTATGTTATGTAAATATGTTTTTGTTTTAATCCCAAGTGTGGGATTTTATTTGGGCTTTAGTTTGTCCACAGCTGATAACTGTCCTGTGCATGTGGCTTTTGCCAGTTGGTAACGGCCTTCCTGGTGCTGTGGGTGGAGAAGGGCGTGGTCTAGGGCTTGAGGCTATGAGAGCCCAGATACGGAAGGCGTGGCATGCAGTGGTGGCAGGTGGCAAGAAGCACCCTGAAGAAACCAGAGACAGCTGGTGTGGCAGTTTGGAGCAGACAGACGGAGGGAAACGCTTCGGGGCACGGCGGGTGGAGGACACTGCTGGCTGGGCTGGCTGTTGATGGAGATTGGTATATCCCCCCCAAACACCCTTTGACCCTGAACAGTGGGGAGAGGTAAAGGGGTCTGTGCCCCTCTCCCTACTAACCTTCTCTCTCCTATCTAGGCTTAGGGTGTTGGTGGAAAGAAAGGGGTGCTGGTAGAGGCTTAAACACCCCAAATAAAGTAGAGTTTTAAAAACAAGCACTACAACTGCCCTTTAATATAGTTCCTCTTGTTGTGGTGACCCTGAACCATAAAATTATTTTTATTGCTACTTCCTAACTGTAATTTTGCTGTTACGATTTGACCCCAAAGGGATGGAAACCCACAGGTTGAGAACTGCTGCACTATGGAAATGCAAATTAGAAGCACACTAAAGTCCCACTTCACCCTTGTCTAGATTCTCAGACGACCAATGCTGCTCAGACTGTCGGGAAGGAGGAGGTCTTATTCATTGATGGCGTGAGTGCAGTCAGAACAGAAATGGAAGTGGAGGGTGTACGACCCAGCCGCTGTATCATTTCCAGCACATACCTATGTACAGTCTACCACAGCAGACACTCAACACTTCCTTGTCTACTGCTTCTCTATCTACAACACTAAGCAAATAAAACCAACCTAGATGCCCATCTCCAGAAAGCATGTAGTAAAACTGTGGCTACATATACAATGACATTTTATTCAGTCAGAAGAAAAACAAAATGAACACTGCAGGAAATGGACACAGCTGAGAAACACTAAAGAAGGTAACCCATTCATATGCAGATCCTAGCTTCAATGTTTATGTATGTGTAATATGTGTGGGTATAGGCCATGTAATTACAAAGACCAGAGAGGGAGACAGCTGCCGGGAAGAGGGACAAAACGTAACCTAAAGTGGGAAGAGAGGCTTCTGGGGGAGGAGTGGGGTGTAGGCTGGGGGCAGTGAGGAAGACAGGGAAGTGAGAAGGCAGACTGCAGTAACCACTGCCCACTCAGGCCTCCCCACTGTTGGCAAAACTGCTCTATTAGTCTGAGACAGATTTTTTTTTCCCTTTGTTCTTTTTGAGACAGAGTCTCTTTATGGAGTCCCTGCTGTCCCGGAACTCACTAGAGTGACCTTGAACTCACAGAGATTCTAATTCCTCTGCCTTTGAGTTCTAGGGTTAAAGGTGTGTGCCACCAAATTTAGAGTAGAGTTTTAGATATTGTTTTCATTTTCACATTTTACATGCAAGAACCAAGGCTACAAGGCAAAGGTTTTGAGCCATGCCCTGACCCAAACTCAGGGCTGAGAAAGTTCTGATGCCATGACAGTTATTTGTAATTTGCCGTTTCCACACTTGCAATGGAAAATAGTTCAAAAACTGTGAAAACACAGAAGTGATCCAAGGCATTTCATGGAATAGCCACTTAAACACATCTCCAGCTACATTCTGCATACTAGGAGTAAGCATGAGAGCCGGTGGATGACAAACACTGTGATCTTGTGTCCTAGCAGGGGTATTTACAACCAGAAAGAGGTTGAGAAACAAAACCAAGGATTCTGAGGAGGGTACTTACATGCTTTCTTTCTGTAGCCTTCAGAGATTTGGCAGCATAGTAAAAAAGCTGTGTTCCGCACAAGGCTGCCCAATACTTTGTCCAAGATGCTACCTGGGGAGGATAAACACACCAATAACTACTCCAAGGCTTTGACTTTCCCTTCTTAGTGACAACGTTCTATTATTCACTTCAGCTGTCAGTTCTGAGTTCAGAGGCAGGTTACAGCACTTGTAACGTCTGTACCTCAATAGCCCCTTTCATTGCAGTGACTACTCTTTAGTGGTCATTCAAGTAATTCTTCATCTCATCAAGAACCCTGTAACTTTTTGGAAAGCCAGTAACATGCTTGCTTGGTGTGCATGCACGAGGACCTGAGTTCGGAAGGCCAGCATCTGTAAAAGCTGGGGGCAGAAGATACATCTGGAGGCAGAGACAGGCACGCAGATTACCAGCTATCCAGATTGGCCAGGGAGCTTGTGGTTAACTGAGTGGTCTCTTCACCAAAACTAAGGTGGAGAGATAAGGAAGACCTCGATATTGGCCACATGCATGCAGAATTGCACATTTGTATTCACATGGCCATACATAAACTCCTAAATACGTACATACACACAGAGAAACCCAATCACTCTCCAACATGCTGTAGTGCTATCATCTTCCGGTCTCAATACCACATCCTCTCCCCATCTGGTCCGTCCACTGTCAAGCAATACCTGGTGTCTAACACTTGAATCCCACACCTCTTTCCTCTGATAAAATTCAAACTTCTCGCTGCATCTGGTTATAGTGCAGAGCACCATGGGAAGAAGCACAGTTATGCCAACTGGTAGGATGATGTTTACCAATTTCACAGTGTTTTTTCTTTTCTTTATTTTTTACTCGATTAAGTCAATGCATTCTTTCTCTATAAACAGCTCTTTTATATCCACTCCTCAAAGTTCTAGCACACTCTCCCATGATGTCATTACCCAATTCCTGTACAAAGTAAAGTCTGGCTTAAAAAAAAAAAATCTCATAGGTTTCCAGCACACACTTCCTGCCTCACAAGAATCACAAAACTGGCCTTTTGTCATGCTACAAGAATCTCATCAATCCTGGCTCTATACAAGACAAAAGTTGAAACTCAACTTTGAGTTTCTTTCTTTCTTTTTCTTTTGAGCCAGGGTTTCTCTAAGTAGCCTGAGCTGTCCTGGAACTCACTTTGTAAACCAGGCTGGCCTTGATCTCAGAGAACCTCCTGCCTCTGCCTCCTAAGTGCTAGGATTAAAGGTGTGTGTCAAATCACCCAGTGTGAAAGACTTTTTATAGGAGTAAACCTATTCAAAGAATGAGGTATTCTGGTTTTTGTCTCAACTCATCTCTTCTACCAGCCATTTGTGCTAAAGAAAAACTTTTCTTAGTGATCAAACTACTATGCTGTTGAAGACAAACAATTTTTATTTTTTGCTATGGACTAAAAGCTCTGTCCTGTAAGCTTTTTGCTTCTAGAATGCTTATCGTTTGAAGGGCATTTAGTATTTAGATTCTGTTTTACATGAAAAAACACTACATTACAAGGTTTAAATAAACTGATAGAAAAAAATTGGTCCAATTCTACTTCTCAGGTTTTTACCCTACTTTCAATTTTTCTCAACACATTAACATTTACTTACTTTTTTTGAGACAAGGTCTCACTATGTAGACCTAGATGGCTGGAACTTACTATGAGAACAGGCTGTCCTTTAACTCATAGATATCCTCCTGTATGATGGGATTAAAGGCATGCACAACCATATCCAGCATATTTCTTAATAAAAGTGCTTATCAAAAAATAATTTTGGCTAAGAATTAGATTAGAAGTGGAAGAAAAGTGACTTAAGCACACTTAAAATGTAATTTAGTTGCAACCTTTGTGGCAGGTTTAATACTTTTAAGAAACAGGGTAAGGAGATTTGATGGCCTTCAGCAGTGACTCCTCTGCCCTCCTTCACTTCCTGTGTGCCAGTAGTTTAAATAAGACCGTGAGGTCGAATCAATGGGGAAAGACAGTAACCACCTGAGTTAAAATAAAAACTTTAACAGGCCTCCAACTTTAACACAACTGTTTCCATGATGCAAGGACCATGTACTTAGCTCCACCTGCCAAAACTAAATTTAAAGCCTAATCCATCAAAGCCCACAGTTCTAGGAAAGTTTCTAAACATACTAACCTTGCTTTCTGACTTTTGTAGACGTCCTTCTGACTAACTGTTCTTGTTTACTGAATTATGTCAACCAGAATGTGTTTCTGGTGCTTAGAAGCTCACCGAGAAAGGGCCTACAGTGAGATCCTGAGATACTACAAGTACACTCAGTGTACTTGTAGTTTGGCTAATAGAAACTTTCTATTGGCTTAAATCCATGTCTGAGCATCTCTGGTGAATAACCACAACAAAAACCAAGTATATTTCCTGTTCCTGTGTGCTCACCCTCTTGATTAAGAATGAAGTTTTCCTTGTCCAGGGTAAAAAGGAAGGACAATGAGAAAACCATATAGTCACATCGACTACGTACCTGCTTCCTTCCTAACTCTTAGTACTCAGGGCATCAGCGGATCTTTGGACATACATCAGAATAAAGTGACTCTTACTGTGGGTTTTTTGCCTTCTTTCAGCAAGGTTTTCCTTCTGAGGACGCCTTGGACAGTAACAGCCCCGGGGAACAGGTGCACTGCTAAGTCTTCTGACTCCGCAGAGCTGTAACGACCAGAAGAAGCAGAGAGCAGCTAAGCGTGCGTCTGCAGCCACTGACAAGATCCGAAAGAGAGATCCAATTCTTCTTTATTCATTCAGTTATCTTTCCCAGAGACGGGGTTTCTCTGTGTACCAGTCCTGGCTGTCCTGGAACTTGTTTTGTAGACCAGGATGGCCTTGAACTCACGAGATCCACCTGCCTCTGCCTCCCATGTGCTGGGATTAAAGGCGTGTGCTGCCGCCACCTGGCTGAAATCCAATTTTTCTTATGTTTAAAACTTTGACACTTTATTGAGAGCTGGTAAGACACTAAGAATTTTAAAAACTCAATGATTTGAAATTTGTAAGCTGTCATGAAGGTTAATTAGGAAGTTATTAAAGTCAGAGATGTTTAAACACGTACTACCGCACATATTTCAACAAATGCAATTTAGAGAGAAAGCAGGAGTTCACTTTAACCAAGATTAGTTAAAAAATTTAAGGCAAGTTTTTCCTCTTAACATGCCAGAGTACAACACTGTGGTAACCCATTAGAAACTCTGTTGGCAAGAAACACAGGGTTTTGTTAGAAGTATTTAAGTATACAAAACAGAAAGATGCAAATAACAAGCTAAAGAAACAAAAACACCAAAACAAAACAAAACAAAACAAAACAAAGCAAAAAAAAACTACACAAACAAAGGAACTATCTCCAGAAAAAAACAACCCCAGGAAACTCACACTTCATTTTAAAGAATATAAACAAAGGTAACAGTGTCAATAATGTGTTTTTAGAAACCGGCTTTCTGCAGTAAGTTTTAGTGATATTCAGAAGCTGCCAATGCTCAGTGTTTGATTACAGCCTCACAGATTTCTAACAAAGAAGAACGCCCACCTGCATCCCAGAATTCGCTTTTTATTTTCTTCAGTAATCATTTTAAATGTCTTTCCACAGTTGATTTAAGAACCTATACTTAAAACAGAATGATTTACATGCCAATCTCTGGTGATGTGTTATGAGATGTAGAGCTATTAAAACAACAAGGAATATAGAAGTTCAACTTTCTGTATGATTATTTAGGTGTCTTCAAAGTGACAACCTAGAAATTCCATGCTTTATCTGTTTATGAGGAGGGGACACACAAGATGAGACTCCATGAGCTGACAGGGCTTGCTTCTCAAGAGTTACTCTGCTCTTTCGAGGTGATTTCCTGTTACTAGTGTCCCCGTTCCTCCTATACCACGCATGTACCATCTTTAGGTGTCCCCACAGTTAGATTAGCACAGACAGGCCCAGCTAAATAGAGAACTAAATAAAAATTATTTACTGAAAGACTTCTTTAAATTCAGGTTCTATGGTTTACCTGAAGAAAAAAAAAAAAGCTTACTTAAAAAGGACAACTTGAATGTAAATTTACTGGCAAAAAAAAATTTGCTTTGATTCCAATTTAAGAGAAATAAAATGATTTTCACATAGCTCCACCATAATTAACAGCATTAGAAAGTGTGTCGTTATAACATTTTAAAAATGTGACATAAAGATGCAAATTTTAATAATTAGCACTGTGATTTAGAAAGAATAGTTGAAATTTAAACTGTATTAAATCTTGGAAAGAAAGTTTTCATGGGCAATTTGTTTAGTTTTAAAACCAATTAGCTAAGAAAGAAGAGGAAAAAAATGTCAGACAGCACCCATATGAGCCAGCCACCAACAGCAGAAGGGAGTTCTGTGGCCCCTGATGCAGGGGAATTGTACCTGCTGGCCTTCGTGTGGCTTCGATAGCCATTTCGGGGCACTCTTGTCACCGGGCCGAGAGAATGGTATAATCTGTTCCTGTTGGATTCCATTATAAAGTGTATATATTACACATATTTTTATTCATAGGATCATCATTAATACCTAGAATAATATACTATTTTTTCCTATGTAATCTAGCTTTCTATGTCACTCCTTTAAAAGGCCAACATATAATTCTTTTTCAAAACATGCAACACATTTAAGTTTTTTTTCTAATGACTCTAGAAACACTTATAGGGGTATAAAGTACATGCTATACTATACAATTATACATGCACTCATTTTCATATATCTGTCAAAAAATTAAGGAACTATTATGGCCAAATAATATGGAAACCTGAAAAATGCTCCAAAGCCCCTTTGTTCTTCTTGGATTCCAGCTTACATATGATATATGGACTTACAAATAACTCATTTTATCAAGTATGTCCCTATGAAGACACCTAAAAGCAACGTGGCTTATAATTGAAAATGAATGATGAGAGATCTCTCAGCATAACTTAAAAAAAAAAAACTGGTAGGGACAAACTGAGGAGTAAATACAGGCATTTTTCTCATTTCATATCAACCGACAAAGCCAATAAATGACAAGAATGGTGTGAACAACTATTCATCCCAAATCACGTCCTACTTGATACAGGAAATACACCCAGAAACAATGGTGTTTCTTTACTTGGGAAAGTCAAAAGTAAAAAACCACTACGTTAGCAACATATTTGATATGTCTCTAGGAAGTAAGAGGAGAAAATAGTGGTTGAAATTCAGAGAATAATTTAGAGACTGAGGATATAGCTCATGGCTTTTGCTACATGCCAAGGCCTCAGGCTTGATGCAGAGCGTGTGTGTGTGTGTGTGTGTGTGTGTGTGTGTGTGTTTAACTTAGCTGTTCTCAAAATGTCTGAAGAGCCACTGCTTTAAACTTGGCACAAGTACAGACATGTTAGCTGCAAATGTATGTAAAATAAATGGTGTCACACAAGAAAGACACTATTTTGAGGTATGAAGGTTAACACATTACAAATTGCCTTCCTAGGCAATCTGCTGCAATGAGAACACATTCTCACACACCACACTGGGTTAGGTACTGGCAGTTCAAGCAACCCAAGAAACAGCTGCTATCAATACTATTAACCTAAAAATGACAATATACACCTTAATTAAGACCGATGTTATTATGATGCTTTTCCAGAGGGAAAGACGCTCTTCACGAATTCAGAGAACAAGCCAAATGCAATGTTTGAGTTTACCTGAAAACATTTCAGGTAAACTCAAAAGGATAAGGTTGGAGCTGAAGAGCTGGCTCAGCATTAAGAGTACTGGCTACTTTTGCAGAGGGCCTGGGTTCAATTCCCAGCAACCACATGGTGGCTTACAACCATCCATATAATTCCATTTCCAGAGGATCTGACACCTTTCTTTGACCTCTGCACAAACATGGTACAGACATAAATGCAGGCAAAAATCCATATACACACACAATTAAAATAAATCTTAAAAACAGAGAATAAAAGTAAAAGTTCAGAAGAGAAGACGTAAAAACAAATTGTTACAAAAGAAAACTTGGGAATGCTCAGTGTATTAAAAAAAATACAGTGTTTAACTGAAATCTTAATAACATGCTAGTGAGAAATCTTTAAAGAGGAAGTCTTCCAATAAGCAGTTTTAAACTAAGACGACTCAAATATAATTCAAAATGTTCCTGTTTAAAAGTGACTGATACAGAGTTTTCATATAGCATTCATATTTAATCTAAACAATGATCGTGGGGCTCAGTGGAAGGCCCTGGGTCCAGTCCCTAGCACTGCAAAACAAACACCAGCCTCTCCCCATCTCCCCAATACTACACTTGCTGCTTACAGGTTCAGATCTCAGTTTACACATGAAAATGGAACAGTTATTTCTGTCAAGTCAAATGTCTTGAGCTTGAGGATAGTGAAGTAATGACATAAGACTTCGAATGGGCATTTAGCAAGTAATTATTTGAATAACTTTCGTCAGTCTCAGGGAGATATTCCATTTGATGACAACACAGTGCACCACCTCCACACAGACGATAGTTATAGCTAAAAGCAGCAAGGGTAGGAGGAGCATGGCCTCACAGCAGCTCAGTGTGAAGCACCACACATGCACTGACAATCTTTTCTTGTAATTTTAAATTAGCTGTCATTTTGTCCTTAAAGAAGCAACAGAGTTAAATAAATTACCCAGACCTAAGAATAATCTCATTTTGGAACACAAGTTAATTATGGTTATTTAAAAATTTTTATTAAAATTATTATTAAAAATCTACATTAGAATTTCAAAAATTCAAACACATGTGAAAATACCAAATAAACATAAAGATCAGAAGTAGCCACTCTCATGTACAATTCCAGACTTAAATGTCTATTTGTCATTTCTTCTGACCAGCAAAAAACTTAAGTCACTTAGTGATACGTAACAAATACCTCTTCAAATTCATATATTCCTTAAGATAAACCAAATAAGTTCAAAGAAACATTAGTGAATACTTTCTTACCTTTCAAAAGCTGGCCACGAGGTCTCTTCACTTAGTTCAGAACCATCACTACTCCCTAAAATCAAATGTTTTCTGTTACTGTTGTATCAGTAATTTTTCCAGTTAAGATTTTATATTTAAAAATAAATTTTCTGGTGGCTCATGTTAATAATATGTTAATAATACTAATAATTTCAGTACTTAGAAGGTGGAGACAGGAGGATTTTAATTTTAAGTTCAAAGACAACTTGGGTTTGTCTATTTAGATGTACTGTCCATCTTATCTGCTCATTTGCTCATCTGGACTTGGCCCTGCCCTCTGTCCTTTGTCCCTGGACTTGACTCTGACCCTGCATCTAGCTGACTCTGACAGCAGCTGCAGCCCCTCACCCCAGGGACTGTCAGCCAGTTTCCCAGCTCAGACCCCTTGCCTTCTTGACCCTATGTAGCCATTCCACAACCCATCTGTGTGGTATGTAATACCTGATATGGAGCTAATATCAATTAAGACTAGAATAAAACCAAAAACCAAAAACCTGTGTTTGCCTTGGCTAAGTTTATCAAGGAAAGTAGAAATATCTGGCAAATTAACGCCTTGAAATTGCTGTACCTGTGAATCTGTTGCTCAATAAATCCTGACTCTACGGAGGTTCATAAACATTTCATCTGTTTCTGATAAAACACACCCACAACAAAAGTAAAAACTACAACTAAACTAGAGCCTAATTTTAATACACACAGAGCAAAAAGCCAAATTTGTATAAAAAAATATTTTTTCTTAATAGCACACAAGATTCCACAGGAACAACAAACTTAACTGAAAACAGGCTCTTTTATCTTACATCAAGATTGATGCACATTGCTATCACCAGCAGCATTTCTGAAAGAGGAGAGCGGCAGTGTAGAGTGCCGGGTGGCGCTGGGGGGCTCATGGGCAACTCCGTGTTTAGGAATTCTCAGATTGAGGGGGTCAGAGCACTCAGATAATGCACCTCTTTCTACGGATACTAAGAGATTATGCCAATAGGGCAACATGCCAGTAGAGGCCTTTCATAAAACCACAGGAACTGAGCATACTAGAGATACAGTTTTTAATTATAAAAAGAATGCTCAGATAACAGAACAGTTTAAGAAGTAAAAACAGGGGTTGTATTTGTTGAGATTTGATTTGTATCCTACATGACTGATTTTGGAGAAGGCTTAATCACATCCTGAAACCTCATCTCAGGCAGCCATGGAAACTTCTCACACAGTGTCTTAATTTTGTTTTGCACCAGATATTGGTATGTTTAGAATGTCCCTCTTCTGTGCTGGGGAAACAGCTCAGTGAATAAAATACTTGCTGTACAAGCATGGAGACCTGAGTTTGGATCCCTAGAACTCATGCCAGCACAGCAGCAAGTCTTGCAAATCCCAGCACCAGGAGGAAGAGGGAAGAGGATCTTGAGGGTTTGTTGGCAGTTGTGTTCCAGTTCAGTTCCAAAGAGTCACAGAGGAGGACATCTCATGACCACCTCTGACCTCCACACATGCCATGTATGTAGACATACACACAAAACAACTTCCCTCTTCAAAACAATGGGCTTCTGTCATAGAACATCTGGTTTCTCTTCTTCCTAATTTCCCTTGTTAGTCTAGCTTCTATTCAAAACTTTCTAGAAACTTCTCTGTGGAAGAATGTTCTTATTTATACTATACCTGGGTGACCTAAACAGTCTTACAGTTTGAAGTACTACAAAGAGGATAATTTTCATATGCCTGCAGACTGAACACAACTCCAAGTGAGCTCCAGATTCATACATTCAATGACGTGACATCCCCAGTAAGGACCAAACAAGATCAAAACAGAATTCATCCCTTGTCAAATTCAGCCATCCTTCAATATATATGTCACAGCCAGAATCGATTCTTTCCTAGTCCTGTGTTTGGCAGGGTCACCACCAGCTAACTAGCTGCTTAAAGGGATGACTTGGAATCACACTTGACTCCTTCCCTTCTTCCTTTTCACATCCAAATTGCATGCAGTTAGCCAACCAAGTAAAGCAGCTTAAGGTCTTTTCTCAAAGTCCATAAATGTCTTTTCATTTAGAGTCAAAAGTATTAGCACTTTAAAAATAATCAAGACCTATTCTCATCACCATATAGCTAATTGTAGCTTTGTTTTAAACCACATTTTTAGAGTATTTATGCCAGGGCAGTGGTTTTCAAACTGTGGGTCTAAACCCCTTGCAGGTGTTGAACAACCCTTTCATATATTAAATATCTTGCATGACAGACATCCACATTATGACTCATAACAGTAACAAAATTATATGAAACAGTGACAAAAATAATTTTATAGTTGGGATCACACCATGAAGGTTGCAGCATTGGGGAGGTTGAGAGCCACTGTGCTAGGATTAATGGATATTTCTGCAGCCGAGGTTTGTTTTCATTTGTATGTTCAAACTGTTTATTCTGTGGCAGGTGGAACGCTGGTGAGTCCCTCTCACCTATGGATATCCCGCTGGAAAGCGTAGAGCTCTCAGCTTGGCCTCGGGATGGCGCGTGGGGCTCCATGACACTGTCGTCCAGCAGGTGCCGTGGCCCTGCGTTTGGGAAGGTCGCACTCTTAAATTCTGCTGTGTTCATCTTATGAATAAAACTAGAAACAAAGAGAAACATTCCTCAGAACTTCACCAGGATATAAAGAATAATCAAAATTGTCTTCAGAGTTTGTTCTGGAGTAGAGCCACACCCACTGAGCATGCATCTTCTTGAGGAATCAATAGTGCAAAACTAATGACATTAAATGAGAATTGGGTTTCTTTTCTTTGTATTTAGAAATAAAAGAGTAGTTTTTTACAGCTTAATTTATTGCTTGTATTTGTTATGACAAATAATTCCTCTTGATAAAAAGGATGTCGTTTTAAAAGGAAAGCTTCAGCATATGCTCTCCCGAGTTCTCTGAATTCCTGATTTATTGCCCTCAAATATGAGCATTGCTGAGAAACTCAATTCCAAACCAGGTACAAGAAAAAATAAGTCTCTTTATGCAAACAAAATAGTTTTTTTTTTAACTGAATCTGATGACTGACATTATTAACCGAAGCAATCACACAGGCACTTAATTTCTATTTAACTTATTAACTAAATAGAATATAGACATATTTTACTAATACAGTAAACAGAAAATAAAGCCATCTACAAACTAAAAAACTGAAAGACAAAATTAAAACTGCTGACTTGTAACCCAAGCTATGGCACTTCCTGTGTCCATGTGGAATGAGGTTCCGAGGAGAAGGGGGCGTCTGTGGCAGCAAGGCTCCCTCGGCCCCACTGCTCTTCCTTCCGCTCTGTGGTGAGGCTCCCACGTCAGGTCCTAAGAGTTCAAGGGAGAGGACAAAGAGAAATTGCCACAGGTTCTGAAGGTCCTTAAAACCAAAAGCAAAACCTCTCTGATATAAAACTGTGCCCTGAGTTTTAGATACTGTTAGTTCTATTTAATTGACTTGAAGAAATACTTATTTTCCAAACTCTAAAATAAATCTCCAATCACACAATAACTATTAATTTTTATCTCTCTTATGTACATTAAACAAAGGCAGTGTAAGTACTTCCCTACTGTACATGGGTGAAAAATAGGCTAGGGCTCTTAATTCAGACACAAACTGGACTAAATGCCTAGGTCTTCTCAGTCCCAGACTCAAGTGGATTCAATGTGATACCCTGCTTTTTTATACACAGCTTTGAATTTCTCTTAAAGAAATGTAAAGGCTAGGTCAAGTGCTTACTGCCTGACACTGGAAGTTATTTATGGGAATAAAAACATCTCACAGTGTACAGATTTCAAAACACCCCTTTAAGAAAAAGCTGTCGGGCCCACACCCTTAATCTCAGCTCTCAGCAGACAGCAGCAGGTGGACCTCTGCAAGTTCCAGGCCAGCCAGGGCTACTCAGTAAATGACAGCATGTCAAAAAAGTTTTGTGCATGGAAGCGTGTACCTATAATCCTAGAATGAGGAGGCTGAGGCAGGAGGATGGTGAATTAGAGGCCAGCACAAGCTCCACATGAAGATCCTGTCTTAAGAAACAAACAAGCAAAAAGAACTGAGAAACACAACTAAGAGGTAGATATGAAATGATCTCCCTCTGCTCAGAGCGCCCTTCCGCTATCTGCTCTTTTTCACCTTTGTCACTGCACAGTTTACTTCCTCCACCTGGCGAACCAGACCTTCAAGTAGTTTTAGAATTTGTACTAGGAAGCTTGTACTAGGAAGTTTGAAGATCTATATTGGATTTTTTGTTTTTTGAGACAGGGTTTCTCTGTGTAGCCTTGGCTGTCCTGGACTCACTTTGTAGATCACACTGGTCTCGAACTCATAGAGATCCACCTGCCTCTGCCTGCCCAAGTGCTGGGATTACAGCTGTGGACCACCACATCCAGCTCAATGTTGGTTATTTTTAAAAGGTACTTATCAATTATTTTTCAAGGAGTAACTTCTTAGATTTTAGGGGTTTTGATGTACATTATAAACCAGCTGCAAAGCCATGTTGATAAAAAAAGGTATGTTTATATTTTTAGTAAGTGGTCCAGCACTGAAGTAAATATTAAGAAAGCCTAAGTCACTATAATTTAATTCTATAATTATTCAAATTAGATTTTTTGCAGTGTCTTCATTGCCTATTGAACTGTATTCTTGATAATTAAGGATAATATTCATAAATCTACTATTCTATCATGTGTTTTCCAAACTTAATTAGGAAACATTTATTTAAACATTACTGATAAACAACAAACAACTTTTTAATAAAAAAACAGGAAAACATTTTAATATATTTTGAAATATATTTTAATACAGCAAATAATTTTTCTTAGACAGTTTAAGACATGCTAAGTCTTCACTTAAGTACAATTCTTTCCTACGTGGTCAGGTGACCTGGTCTCCTGTTAGATAAGCACCTGTTCACCAACCAACACCTATGGACTAACCTGCCAGGTCTTCCCTGGAAGCAGCTGAGCGTGGTGTACTTGCCCCCGGTTCTATTTTTAATGAGAGTCTAAATTCCAAAAGAACAAAGCATAAGAAACAATGAGCATTGGCAAAACATTAAAGTCACGTTTCCTTACAAAAATAAAAACCCCATAGGGAGCTGGAGAGATGGTTGAGAGCACCAGCTACCCTTCCAGAGGACCCAGGGTCAATTCTCATAACACACGGTAGCTCCGAAAAACCCTCAACTCCACTTCCCAGGCATCTGACGCTTTCTTCTGGCCTGTACAGGCACCAGGCACATACGTGATTCACAAACATATGTGCAGACAAAACAAATAAAAATAAATTTAAAAAACTCAATATTTTCAGACTAATGTGAGCTGTAATATATATTTTTCTTTCAATGTAATTTTTAATTAAGGTATTAAATCTCTCTCTTAAGCCAATTTTGTGATATACTTCTAGAAAATACTGAAGAGGAAAAAGCATCAAAATGCTGTATTTTAAAACACAGCTTACCACAGAAAAGTGCCAAACAATTCACTACAGCTAAAGACATTTCCTAAATTACTAAAAGATGCTTTTACTTTTGCTGGATATGGAGCTAGCCTAGGTTACATAATGAGATCCAGGCCAGCCTGGGTTACAGTTCGAGATACTACCTCACACAAACCAAAATGAAGCAGAAATCATTTAGATTTGTCAATACACACTTAACTTGAACGACAATCAAATCCAAGAATGTGCTCATGTATTATTTAATATATAATTTATTTCTCGAATCTCTGTAAGATGAACTATTTACTAGCTTGACTTTAGTACTGAAAAATTTTAAAACACTTTTTCCAAAACTACCCAACAAATCAAATAACACAGCTTATGGGGAAAAAAAGGTGTAAACAAACACAAAGATCTCCTGCACATGGCTTTTCTATCCCTACCTTACCAGGTGTGTGCAATTTTTTTCACACCACGACACAACAATGTCACCTACAAAGTTCACAGTTACAAACTGTACAATCAAGTTAAAAAAAAAAAAAAGAAAACTCAAAGGATATAAATCAACCCTTCACAGTGTTTTAAATAAACTCAGATTTTTTTTGTAGCCTTGGCTGTCCTGGGCTCGCTTTGTAGAACAGGCTGGGCCTTGAACTCAGAGATCTGCCTGCTTCTGCCTCCCCAAGCGCTGAGGCTAAGCTCAGGATTTGTGTTGGTGCTCACTGCTTCCCTGGTCATTCCAGGCGGTATGGGGTCTGGGTTTGGCGAGAGGCTCAGGCCTGAAACCTAAGTCAAAGTTTCTTGTTATTTGCTCCACTTACACACCCAGTTTTGTGGGTTTTTTGGAAGGGCATTTCGATCTTTATTAGTGGAAGTAATTTTGGGAAGCAATACTGAAGCAGTTAATTGTAGAAAATGTTTTGGTGTAATCTGTGAACCCTTTTATTACTAAGAATCTGCAAAATCAGGAAGTTCTTGTTTGTTTGCTCTGCTTTGGTGGGCTGGAGGCTTAATCAAGGGCTTTATAAACAGCAGCAAATGTTCTACTGAGTGGAGTTTTCAGTGAAATCACAAAATAAAGAAGCATATATAGTGAACACAAATCCAATGAAGGTACTTCATAACTTTATAACCTAAGAAAATAAAAAGCAATTACATTAGTTACCTGACAGCATAAACGAATGGCTTAGAGACGGCATGTGCACGCATTCTGTTGGACACAGTGTCTGCCTTTCCTAGCACTGCACCCTCAGGACGGAAGAGAATGCGAGCTGCCTATAGCATCTAGCAGCAGCATGAAAAGCACTGCAACGACCAACTGCTACTCCAAATGTCAGTGGTTTCTAATAGTACTAAACCTCCACCTCGTAAGAGTAATGTCAAGTCACAAAGAAAAAAAAAACTTTCTGTATTAAAACTATGTTCTAAACGAGGATTTTTCAACCTGACTGAAAGTCACAGATGTTGTTGATAGTAATTATGCTAGCCATAATAAATGAAGTTGCCTGAAGAAAGGCCTTTGGATAACTGTAATTTTTACTAGTTACTAAGTAGCTGCAGAGATGGCTCAGTGGTTAAGTGCACCGGCTGCTCTTCTAGGACCCGGCTAGATTCCCAGCACCCACACCGAAATGCACAACCTTCCAGGTGTAAGGAATCAGACGCCTCTTTTGACCTCCACAAGTATCAGGCACACATGTGCCTTGTATCAGATTGAGCTCTTTGAGGACAAGCACAATACCTTACTTTTTAATCCAAGAAACTGGCAAAAGCATAATCAACACCTTCTAAGGTTGCTCTGGTTCTGACCACTAATGAAAACAAAATCAGTTTGGCGCACAGGCCTGCCTACACAAATGAAGCGCTGTCAAGTGTCACTGTGCAAGCAGCTGAGTCCACCTGAGTCTGTATCTTTCAGTAAAATGAAGTCAGCATTAAGCTAGGAATGGTTGGTGCTGCCTTTGACTCCAGTACTCGGGAGGCAGAGGCAGGTGGATCTTTGTGAGTTCCAGGACAGCCAGAGCCACATAGAGTGACCCTGTCTCAGAAAACAAAAGAGTTTGCTTTAATTATAAAAAAACAAAACCAAAAAACTCCACCACAATCTTGCTAAGGTCGATAAAAGTATCTCATTTTCTGTAACTGTGTGGGTTTCACTTAGACTACTCTTGTACACAATACTTAAACTCTTTTTTTTTTTTTATTTTTATACTTTAACTCTTTTAACATTAGTAAGTTTCTTTGGCCAGAAGAGATATTTTAATAGGTACTTGTATCTTGAGATTTTAGGTCATTAAGATAGTTGCTCTTACTGCCCTTGGACAAAAAGGTGTTTATCAAACATAAATTCTGTATCAGCAACTGAAGGCACAGGAAATAAAGAGCCAACAACTCAATTTTTAGATATATTAAAATTTTTTCAGGGGGCTAGAGAGTTGGCTCAGTGGTAAGAGCACTTGTTTTTGCAAAAGACCTGGGTTCAATTCCCAGCACCCACACGGAGGCCCACCACCTTCTCAAGCACCAGCACGTATTGTGCACGCACACACATAACAAAAGTAAACCTAAACATTTTTCAGAGCTTAATATATTTAATATCAGAAGAAAATAATTTACCACTTTTCAGAAAACAATCCACAGATAAAGAAAGCAAAGGAAAAAAAATCAACAAGTTAAACTAAAAGAAAAAGACATAAAGTACCTTGGTGTGACTCTAACCAAGCAAGTCAAAGACTTGTATGAAAAAAACTTTCAGTCTCTGAAGAAAGAATTAGAAGAAGATATTAGAAAATGGAAAGATCTTCCATGTTCATGGCTTGGCAGGAACATGGTAAAAATGGCCAGCTGACCAAAAGCAATCTACAGATTCAATGCAATTCCCATCAAATTACCAACAGAATTCTTTACGGACTTTGCAAGAAAAATTCTCAACTTCATATGGATTATCAAGAAACCCAGAATTGTTAAAACAATCCTCTATAATAAAAGATCTGCTGGAGGAATCTCCATCCCTGATCTCAAGCTGTATTATAGAGCAACAGTAATAAAAACTGCATGGTACTGGCATAGAAACAGAATGGTGGATCAATGGACTCAAATAGAAGACCCGGAAACAAAATCACACACTTATGGACACCTGATTTTTTACAAAGATGCCAAAACCATACAATGGAAAAAAGATAGCATCTTCAACAATTGGTGCTAGACTAACTGGATGTCTTCATGTAGAAAAATGAAAATAGATCCATACTTATCATCCTGCACAAAACTAAAATCCAAGTGGACCAAAGACCTCAATATAAAACCTGACACACTAAATCTGTTAGAAGAAAAAGTGGGGAAGAGCCTTGAACTCATTGGCACAGGAGACAACTTCCTGAACAAAAACCCTACAGCATAGGCTCTAGGAGCAACAATCAATAAATGGGACCTCATGAAACTGAAATCCTTCTTGTAAAGCAAAGGACACTGTTGTCAGAACAAAGTGACAGCCTACAGACTGGGAAAGGATCTTCACCAACCCTATATCTGACAGAGGACTAATATCCAGAATATATAAAGAACTCAAGAAGTTAAACAGCAACAAATCAAGTAACCCAATTAAAAAATAGGGTACAGAGCTAAAAAGAGAATTCTCGATAGAGGAACTTTGAATGGCAGAGAAACACTTAAAGAAACGCTCATCCTTGGTCATTAGGGAAATGCAAATCAAAATGACCCAGAGATTTCACCTTACACCCATCAGAATGGCTAAGATCAAAAACTCAAGTGACAACACATGCTGGAGAGGATGTGGAGAAAGAGGAACCCTACTCCATTGTTGGTGGGAATGTAAACTTGTACAATCACTTTGGAAATCAATCTGGCGCTTTCTCATACTTCAAGATCAAGTACTATTTCAAGATCAAGCTGTACCACTCCTAGCATATATCCAAAAGACGCTCAAGTATACAACAAAGACACTTGCTCAACCATGTTTGTAGCAGCTTAATTTGTAATAGCCAGAAGCTGAAAACAACCTAGATGTCCCTCAGTTGAGGAATGGATACAGAAATTTTGGTATATTTACAGAATGGAATATTACTCAGCAATTAAAAACAAAGAAATCATGAAATTTGTAAACGGTGGGAACTAGAAAAGATCATCCTGAGGTATCCCAGAAGAAAGACACACATGGTATGTATTCACTTGTAAGTGGATATTAGACATATAATATAGGATAATCATACCAAAATCTGTACACCTAAGGAAGCTAATCAAGGAGGACCCTGGGTAAGATGCTCAATCTTCATTCAGAAAGGTATCAAAACAGATGCTGAGACTCATAGCCAAACTTTAGGCAGAGTGCAGGGAATCTTATGAAAGAAGGAGGAGATAGAAAGACCTGGAGGGAACAGAAGCTGCACAAGGAAAGAGAACCAAAAAATCTGGGAACAGGGTCTTTTCTGAAACTGATACTCAAAGAAGGACCACGCATGGAGATAACTTAGACCCCCTACACAGAAGCAGCCCAAGGCAGCTCTGAGTATCCAAGAGGGTTTCACAATAATAGGACCAGGGACCATCTCTGACATGAACTCAGTGGCTGGCTCTTTGATCACCTCCTCCTGAGGGGAAAGCAACTTTACCAGTCCACAGAGGAAGACAATGCAGCCACTCCTGATGAGACCGGATACAAAGTGAATAAACTGTAATTATTAAAAAAAAAATTAAAGAAAAAAAAGAGGCACCATCCTCTCTATCCAGCAGCTGGGATGTGAAGTGAGGCTGCTGAGAACCAGAAGGGGTTACCAGCTTTAGAGTCCTGAGTAACGGACTAAATGATATAGATTAAATATGGTGCCACAGTGGTACCGTAACAACTCAGACATGAGAAGCTTAGTCTCTCAAGCCATGGAAACTTTTGATTTTCAAAGATGAGTCTAAAAATAACCACATAAGAAGGAATAATTTTTGTATTTTGTAAATGGCATAATTACAGACATATAAATTTCCTTAGGAAAAGAGTTCAAGTACACACACAAAAAAACTTACTTTTTGTTTAAATCTCTGTTCTCTACAGCTTAAGAATGTTAAAATGTATTTTAATATGTATTTAGTTTTTTTGTGGGGAGGATATTATACAAGCTGATTCTGACCTTTCACCTTGCAGGCCCCAGAATCAAGGCCACAGTTAGGCTTGCCCTCAAGTGCCTTTACCTGCTGAGCATTTGCTGACTCAAAAGCTGCACTAAGAAAAAGCTGAAGCATTTGTATACTGGTTGAATCCTATCATGTGATTAAAAGAAACACATGTAATCACCCTTAATGGATCACTGGCTGGGAACTTTAGATGTGTAAAAGCTGGATGAAAGGGTTGAGACTCAAAAGTGGAGAACTACATAAAGTAGCAAATGTGAAGATGGACCTACTTGTAATTATCGTCTTCCACAAACTTTTGTAGTTCTTCTATATACTGAACGGAGTTCAGGTATTTTTGGACATGAGGCAACATGGGAATATCTAGGCAAAAGATGACAAATGATTATTCCAGTAAAGTGCAGAGTAACAAGAAACTTAAGGAGAGAAATAGAACTAAGGGTAGCTAAGGCCTTGTGGCACCCAAGCTGAAACTAACGCCAAAAAAGATATTCTTTAACTCACCATATTCACAGGACTGCTGTAAATCAGAAATTATTCGAAGAATGTTATTCATCAAATTTGATCTTTGCTCATTTTCTAGAATGCTGCCCGTGGATGGGTATGCCGAGTCAATGTAAGTCAGGTCTGACAAATAGATACCTGGAACAAAAGCAGACAAGTGACTCCTAGTGCAGTTTGGATGACTCGAAGAGGGAAGAAAACCCAATCTGCAAATGCTTTCCAGCACGTCTTATTCAGAGTACATTATTAATATAGTACCACGATCTCTTGGGATTGAGACCTCTAGAGTTGGGGTCAAGCCATACAAACCTAAGTTCCTTGTAAAGTCTCCCGTGTTGTTTTCACGTACAGATTAATCAATCAAAGGGCAAAAGGCAGAGTTCTTGAACTGGCAGGGGTCATTTTATTCTCTAAAACTCAGCAGTCACATCAATTCAAACACTACCCACTTTCCAGTTTTTGTTTTATCTAAGGAAACCCCCTGAGTCAACACAGCCAAGGCCTTCTATAGGGAAGTTAACATTAGCCTCATAGCCTTGCTTTCAGCTCACAGCCTCAACTATAAAGAGTGTTTTAATCTAGCAGGTGCAAGTGAATTATCTGTTTTAAAGACCAGCAGCTCGGTTTCTGAAATCATTTTTGTGATTACAAACTCAAGTTGACTTCCTAACCAACGTCATGTTTTCTGTGATCAGTTAGGAATGACATATTTCTCAAAGCTTGGTCATATTCGTCCTGAACACGGGAAGCTACGGCTTCAAAAATATTTCCCAAGAGACACACCCATGTGGAATGTAAAAGCACACTGTCACTAGGGAGGGACATAACCCACCAGGACACACAGCCCTGCTTTCTAAAAAGACCCTGGTTCTCCTGTTGGCCACTTTCTTTATTCAACTACTTTTAATATACAAGTCTGTTAATTCAAATCCTTTACCTTTTATGTCTAGCTAAGCGTCAGTTATTCTTTAGTTTCCATATAAGTCCCCATATAAGAAATGTAGGAACTATCTAGGATGTTTTCAGAGAAGAACCTGAAATCTACAGTTATGAAAACAACACAGCCACCACTCTTGAGACTTGTCAGGGACAGCCAGGCCCCAGGGGCTACTCTCGAATCCTTACCTTTACCAACTGTGTCCTATCACAAGCTGATGTTATTGATACCATTAACTTAACAAACATTCACGACTGCATGAATGCTTTGAGTTTTCTCATATCTTATTTGTTCAAGATTATGAACTTGCTGGATGGGGTGGTGAATGCCTTTAATCCCAGCACCTGGGAGGCAGAGGCAGGTGGATCTCTGTGAGTTCAAGACTAGCCTGGTCTATAAATTGAGTTCCAAGACAGCCAAAGGTACACAGAGAGAAACCCTGTCTCGAAAACCAAGAAAAAAAATCAAATAGAAATAAAATAAAAAAGACTATGAACTAATTTTTGTAGTTGTTCTTTTTTGTTCTCTAAGAATGATGTTTGGACAGGAGGTGGAGCTTAACACAACATAAAAGCCTGGCTAACCTGCTTACTCACCCCTGTGCACTCACTAACTCTTTTCTCCTTTGTTTCCTCCCACCCCCAATCAAGTCTGGTTTTTATGGTATTCAAGTAATTCACCCTAAACATTTTTTTCCCGTGAAGAGCTCAAATAAAAATCTATTTAGGAGTTAAGTCCTTTTTTTTTTTTTATTATTAATCTTTAAATAAATTCTTCAGCACATAAATTTGAACAGCTGACACATCCATCATGACCATCAAATTAACCACAGGCTAGAAACTGACTCTATCAAAAAGTCTTAAATATAGATTACTTAATGTGAAAAAGAGGAAAAACCCTAATACACCGTTATAGTTGATACTACAAGTAATCTTTTCCAAAACTCTTTTGAAGAAATTTTAATGTAAAACTGAAAAGCAAATTTTCACTTTACATCCAGACAATTTTATTGAGCAAGCTGTACGTGTCTAACAGGAATGTCATATAAAATTTAAGTTTAATTGAATGAAGCTATAATAGTTTTCCTAAGTTTGACAACCCTACCCAAATATCATACATGAACTAATAAATGAACACTGTTCACAACACAAAAGCAGTTTGCTTTTAATCAGAGTTTCTCTGTAAATGTGGCAGCTATAAATTAATTGAAGTTCCAATAATAAGGTTAAGTCAGTTGAGAATTAGGTAATGACTAGATCAGCTTTTTTCTATTACTGCTGTTATCTCTCCTTTAAAAAAAAAAAAGCACTGAAATATTGAAATACCATTTTTAAGATTTTTATAACCAAATATATAACATGAAACATTAGCAAGAATAGTTTTACAAATTTAGTTTACATTTCCAAAAGCTGACATTTGATAACTGCAAAGATGGTTTTCTCATGAAAATTAGTTTTTTTAAAATTTGAAATGTTTCAAAGATTTTATGTGAAGATATACAAGCAGTGGAAAGTGTTTATGAATAGATTGCATTCTGCCTTGCTCTCAACTAAAATGCAGGGTTTTAAGACCAGACTGAAAATGAGATACATGTATTTTTATAGCACTGCTAGTTTTTATGTGGCTATTGTTTTGGCCATAGGGGTGAGGGAAATACTAAAAGGACCTGGCAAGCTCTAAGTGAGAAGCTTCTTTCACAAGTTCTCAAAATTATCAAAAACATGAAAAACAAAACAAAGCACAGATATTCGCAAGAATGAGAATGCCTGAAACAAATAATTCATCTCAGCAGAGCCACAGTATCTGGAATTAGAGGGTTCTCTGTCATCCCAGCCCAAAGCAGCGTACTTCTCAGATCACGGGGAGACACTGTGCATCTGGCATGGTTTTGCTTCCCTGTTGCTGTTCAGAATTATCTTGCAAGTACTCTGGGAGATTCAGGAAGTATGCAACCCACTGTAAGGTTCAGCACTGGGCACTCACATTTGTTACAGCTTTTATTATTCTTTAACGACATAACCTTCGGTCACTTACTGACACTGAAGGGGTAGAACTGTCCCAAATTAAAGCACCTATTGTATAAACAAGGCAAACACACACACAACCTCTCTGCCTTTCTAGACTATCAGTTCATAGCACAATCTTAGTCAAGGCACAGCCATTTACAGTATTTATTGTATTTATAGTATCATTGTTAAACATAGCATGAACTAGAAGTAACAGTCTAATCTGGGTACCGAAATTCTGTAATTCTCACTTAGGAAAATTGAGCCCACACTACCCTGCAGTCTCACCAAAAATGATGCCAGAGACACCAACTTTACAATTACACTCAGACTGGCAGAGAACGGCCTCTTTCTTTCTTAGGCTCTTGAGAGATTAGAAATTTCTATTTCCCTATGCAGAGATTAAAACACAAAACAAAACGACACAAACAAGCACTTATGATGAGTAACTGGTCAAAAAAGCTTCCGATTTCTTGAAATTCCTACAGTACATGTAAAATAAGGGCCAATCAGATCACTGCCTAAAGATGCCCTACTTTTTGACTTTCTGTTAGGTTCATGAAACACGCTTACCAGCACCACTGCTGATAAAGCAGGGTCCACTTACAGCCTTCTGCATCTTTCTGTAACAGGATGACTAAGATTCCACCTTTTATACAGCCACTTTTATACACTGCACCGTGCTCTAGTCCCCTACCTAACACTGCATTTGGCACATTACCTTCTATGTATGGTAATTTGTGACTCAGTGTCTGTGCTACTTAAAATGGTGATAATGGATTTATTTGAAAATCAAATGACTTAGAAATGCTAAGGATATTTTATATACAAAATATACAATATTTAAGAATCATGTTTCTTATCATCAACCATAAAAAGGTAAAATTTGTGAAGAACAAAGTGTTTATTTTTAAGTGCACATTATCTGCACCATGAGTTCAAAAAGTTACTTCTGCCTCAATTATGCTAAAGCTGAGTAGGGCATCCTTGATTCTGTCTTGCTCTTAACTGTATAAAATCGTAGTGTTTTAGAGCTTTGAGTTCGTTGTTCGGACTTGCATTTGGATCATTATGTGCTCTTTTACATGAATGCCAATACACAAAAGGTAAATAAGTACTTGAAAACAGTGTTGAAATAAAACAGAAATCAAAATGTATTCTTAGGTGTATTTACCATTAAATACAGATGCCTTAAAATCAGCAAAAACAAAATACCTATATCATAGTATTGAAAATTATTTGGCCAAGATCACGACCTCTTGTAAAAATGTAAACATCTGGTCTTTATCTCCTACCTAATCACTCTGCGTTACTTATTTTCTGTGACTGTGTTTGCAGTGCAGGACTGGACCCTGGCCTTCTTGTGCTGGACAAGCACTCTCCCTCAGAAGTATGTATGGCTTTTTCTTTCTCTTTTTGAGTCCACATTCACTGGCTTGCCTGGGCTGGCTTGAAGCTCACTGCAGATTCATAGGGATCTGATTGCCTCTGCCTGCTGAGTGCTGGGATTAAAGACCCAGATAGAAAAGCAGTTTTCTTTTAAGAAACATTACACATTTCCTTACAATTTCTTGAAGGTTTAAAACCGTCTAAAACAGCAATGTTAGAATACAATGTTTAACCGTTCCCTGAGGCTGTCAAAACTCTACGGTTAGGTGGCTGCTTCTGGTGAAAGCATACCAACTTACAGCTTGCAGCTACTTTTAAAATGGAATACTAGTTTTTTACAACTCAAAAGCTCCGTGGCAGGCAGACTAAAATGTTTATTTTATAATTGCCTGCTGAACTATGATAGTCTGTTTCCAGATGGTGCCCTTCCTTCAACCTGCACACAATCTCTCCTTGTTCAGAGCTATTCAACCTCCCGCTGATCCAGCTCCCCCTCCCCATGTAGGGCTACAGAGAGGAAATCCTATGGAGGAGGTTCCCACCCCCTCCTCAGGCTGCAGCCCTTTTCTAATGACGTAATATGTGGGCTGAACTTGAGTCTACCCAGACTGGGAATCACACTTCGGGATACTCACTCGCGGACAGTCTGTCAGCTGCGGCTGGTTACTGCACCTATCCATGCCGCAGACGGCACGCTCAGAATGCATTCTCTGCTGGATTAGAGAAAGTCCACAGACAGCTCCAAATTCCACAGGTGACCTGTCAACCCAGCTGATTAGTGCTATAAAAAGGAGTTCCTTACTGTTTGGACTCAACAGTCAGAAACAAAAATGCAGTTGCCACTGAAGTCAAAGGCGAATAAACTACACTGATCTTTTAGAAAGCAAGGGTAAGGACGCACGTTTCCGGATTCACTTTTCAACAGACACCAAAGGTATTTTAATATTTCTTTTACATTTATTAAAAATTCTATGTCAAATGCATAATTTTCCTTTGTACTAGAAAGTATGAGATCTACCAGGGAGCTTTAGAAGACGCTGCTGATTTGTATCTGAAGGTTTTGTTTTTGTACTTTTCTGTAAAAACTAGTCGCTAAGTACTTCAGGATGGTTAATGCATTGTTTAAGGTCCAAGCTAGTGTGTGACTACAGACTGATACACACGCTGGGTTCTGAGAACAAATACTTCAGTGACACCAGAAAGTTCTACAAGTAACTCATTAAATGCCTAAGGCTTATACAGCACAACAACCAACAGCAAAGGATGCAAACTAAAGAAAGCAACTGTGAGCTGGCCAGGTTCTCTTCTGAAGGATGTCCTGTGTGTAAGAATGCACATCAACCATTAGGATTCTCAAAGCATGGCTACAAGGCAGAGCCATGCAGCTGCATGGTCGCAAGAAAATCTTACAACACAACAGAACTCTTGTGAGGGTTTAAGTTAATCTATGGTATTTCTTGTTAAGATTCATCATTTTAGAGACTTTCCTAAGTTTATTTACAACAGAAATTTCACTTTAGAAACAGATTAAAACTGCTTCTAACCGGAATTACTTGAAAAGTAAATATTGACACAATTAAAACTTCCTTCAAGGTAGGATTGAGAGAAGTATTAGGGTCATCAGGACTAACAATATGAACTCAGATGGTGTTACTACTTAAGAAAAAACTGAAAGGCCAAAAGCCTGTTTTAAAAACAATCTTGGTAATTAACTATACTAAGAGGTAGGCATGTGCCCTCAGCATTCTATCAGTGGGGGCTCTGCTGATCATGAGAATTACGAAATTACTCCTCATCGATAGTAAGCTTGATCACCAAAAGGCAGCCAAGCCTTTATGCTGGGTGGATTCCCTGACCTTTATCTTTAGTGAAAAGAACTGTCAACAAACAAACGAGGTTAATGTTCAGATTTTGTTTTTTCAGCTTTGCTGAAACATTAAAACTCTCAATTCTGAGCTTGGTTAAATAATTATTTTTCAGACGAGTCTGATAAAATTTCCAAGTCATCTGTCATCTCTGTTGCTGTTTGCCATGATTTTTAAAAGCAGGATCTCATTTGTCCTCAGGTCTTCTAATGCCTTAAGCAAGCATTTAACACAATGTGTGTATAATTCACAGATAATGATTCGTTCATTTTGCAAACATTTCCAGAGGTATTCTCAGGTCAGTTCCTCAAACACAGAGACAACCAGGAAGGTCTCTGTCCACCTGGTCGGTCAGCGCTTCTCAGCTAACTTCACTGCCTCCAGCTACTCTCAGTATGGGGCATAGCCAAAGGAAGCAAAGCCAAGCTTTTATTTTCCTTATAGCTGACAACAGAGCAACTCTGAAGAGAAATACTACTAACAAAATGAATACAACTGCATAGATTTTTTTTTCTTTTCTAAAAATCACCAGGCAAATGTGCAATTTAAGCTTCAGTGTACTATAACTAATTTTTAACATTCTCTTGGGACCTAGGAAAAACTTAACATAAATAGAAAGGTTTTACGAGGTAACACAGATTTATGGATCTTTCACTTTTAAAGCTGAACATGTGTGGGAAACATTAAATAAGGGACTACTTTTAGACAATGTAATAGTAAACAAAATTTAAAAATCCGTTCTTTGCTCATGATGTATGCTTTAAAAAATGTGTCTCCTAACCCTGATTTAAGGGACAATGAACTCATCATTACTGTGACAAAGAAGCATAAAACAAATATCACAACCAGAAAGAGCTTTTAATGTAATTTTAAATCTTATGACTGACTTTCTGACCATAGTGATGCAAGACTGTGTAGAACAAAATACCCCAAAACTCTCCATGTTTTTAATTTAAAATTTTCTTGTTTTGGTAACTTCTTTCATTCTAGAAAATATTTAAATAATTTTATGAGTCAAAGAATTTCTGTCCTATTATTGAAATGATATAAGGAAATTATACATACTTGTGCAGAGGCTAATGGCTTCTATTTTATTTTATTTTTACTGTTCTCTGTTTTGTTTTTAAATAAAATTACAGTTAAATTCCAAGAATTTCCTACAAATACAACTCCAAAGCTGTCACCAGTTTTAGTACAGGTGACTCTTGGAGAGTAAAAGATGTTCTGTAATAAACGATGGCTCCTCTGGATTATGTTTCCTAGTGTCAGAAGCCACAGTACAAAACAGAAACTAAACCTCCACTTGTGTCCTTCTGCCACCAGCCAGCAACAGAAGGCTTTGATGTAAATGCTATTACTTCACCAAATAACTCCCCAACTTCCCAGGCTTTGCTCATTTATTATCTCTCCTCTTTGAACACTCAACTAAACTGGACACACCAACTAAGGAGAGTGCAACTGGCAGCAGTTTTTACATCAGCTGAAAAGCTTGTGTTCCACAAAGAATGTGAGTGTGTGTACGTGCGTGTGTTGGGGGTGGGTAGTTCTAAGTTAGATTACATAAACACAAACTGATAGAACACATATGGGCAGAAAGGAATGACAACAAAGTAAAGGGTTGTAGAAACAACCTAGACTGCAGAAGAACGACCTGCATGTACTTTTGCATGACAAAGGAACAGGCCAGGAAAAAATCTACAAGATGTACATGCCAAGACACCCTTTGCCATTACAGGTACCAGAGTACACAGTCCTGGGGCTAGCACCTGAACCCCACAGGAATGTTTTCGGTTCTCTGGGACTTATTCTTTCTAACTAATACACCACTTTTAGCTCACAGTGCTACAAAGAATGCCCTCTGAGAGAAAGTAGTTTAGAAAGCGGAGACGTATAATGAGGTGATTAATTAAAAGCATGAACCCAACCAGAAGACTGTCTGGGTTCAAATTCTGGCTCTACCTTTTCATAGCTGTGTGGCTATTGATAAGGCACTTTGGGGTACCAACTCCTGTGGAAATGATTATAATAATCGTCTGTTTCACTCGGTATGACAAGAACAGTTTAATGTGTATAAAGGGCCGAAGACAGTGCTGTCTCCTCAAAGATCCACTAGGTATTGAATAGTGTTCCTGCTGTGCTGTCAGTACTACTCATAAACAACCTGGGGTCTGACCTCTTACATCAAGAAACAAGGGTGCAAAGTATGTAAGAAAAGTATGTAAGAAAGGCCTCGAGGGTTCCCACTGCTGGCCTTACAAACGGCAAACAGCATCAAGCTGCTGCAGGTGTAGCTTGCTCATGACCCTCATCACAGGAACATACATTCCCATTCCTTCCTCACTCAACTGCTCTCCTCATCAGGGAGTTAACTAAAGAGAAAGGGAGAGTGATCTAGGCTCTTGAAAGAGTCCCAGTGTTGGATTCTAAAGAATAGGTACTTCTCATCTGCCACAGTCAAGAGGACACTGTCCAGGCACACATTCTGGCTTAATTCTTGCTGCTACAGATACTGACCGAGGGCCAAGGAACCCAAGTTCTAGACCTGTTTCTAATATTAGTATGTTTGGCCCTCAGCACACACATGGGTACAAAAAAGCTCTTTATATTCCATTTGGTGATGCTTGTTGAAAATAAGAATTTTTTTTTAACTAAACTACAACCCACAAGACTTTCTTAACAGAAAACAGCTGAATCACCTATAAGCTTAGAGCATATACATAACTTCGATTCAGGAAACACAATTACCCACAATGACTCTTAAGTACCCTGTCATTCTTAAACCTGTCTCCCGTACCAAAAGCAGATGATATAAAAACTGCTTCACTTCCTGTTAGTCTAAAATGTTTGACTTGGTAGGTTTAAAACAAAAAGTCATGGTATTTACTGCAAAAGACTGACTAACTGATCTTATCTAAAACACTGAGTAGTAAGATCACCTGGGGACTACAGTGTCACCCAAGGAAAGCTTTAATTAATATCTCACATACACGGCGCACTGTTTTCCTAGTCTTGAGAGAATGACTTTTCCAAAAGGCACTTCAAAGGGCTCTTAAAAGCTCCGATGGACCCGCAGTGTGCCTTTCACAGGATGGGCTCTGATGAAAACCTCTTCAAAAACTGCTACATCAGGTGGAACTGGCAGAACTACAGCAGATGGGATCTGATCTTTAAATATCAAATACTGATGGAACAGGGAGCCTAAGAATTCAAGTTCAACGGAATTTACTAATACCAATCACTCAGTGTTCCCTCAAATGCTGTGGGAGTGTGAATGAGAATTGCCCATCACAGCCCATCACGTATTTCAACACGTGGCCCCCAGTCAGTGGTGCTGTTTGTGGAGGGTCAGGAGGTGTGGCCATGCTGTGGGGAGACATTGCTGGTGGTGGACATCTCAGAGTCTCATCCTACTCCTGGTTCGCCATCTTTACTGAGGTGCCTTCTCAGCTTCCTGTTTCCACCACCACGCCTCTTCACTATGACCCATTCTTATCCCTCTGGAAGTATAAACCAAAATACATTCTTTCTCCCATAAGGGGCTTCTGCTCATGGTATTTTATCATAGCAACATAAGAGTAACTAGTACAGAACTTTGTTTCTACATTACTGCTCTAAAGTTTTTAGCTTTTTTTCAGTGTACAAACGCTAGGTTTCACAGTATTTTTGTTCAAGTATATCACATATTTTGACCATATTCATGACCCATATCTCCTTTAGTCTTTTCCCCATATAACCCCTATTTTCATAATTTCCTGTTTTCACGTCATGTGTGAATATCATGTGTCTATATAAAACCTAGGTTCCATATATAAGAGAAAATACAAGATATTTGCCTTTCTGGGTCTCTTCTTTTCCTTAGTAAAATGACTCAATTCCATCTATTTTTCTTCATATGACTTAATTTTGTTCTTTACAGTTGAACCGTGTGTGTATATACACACATACACCCCATTTTCTTTGTTCATTTCTTTGTTTGTCTCTTGATGGACACCTAGGCTATAATTTAGCTGTAGTGAATAATGTTGCAATAAACAAGTATGAGCAAGTATCTCTGTAGTTGACTTAGGAGTCTTCAGATAGATTTCTAGGAGGGGAACGGCTCAACCACACGGCAGTTCTAGTTGTTGTCTGAGGAACCCCTGTAATGATTCCCAAAGTAGCTATTCTACTTTCTATTTGGTTCCTCTACCCTCATCCTTGCCAGCATTTGCTATGTTTTTAATAACAGCCATTCTAGCAGGGATAAAATGAAACCTCAATTTAATTTTGATCTGTATGTAAATTAACTCTTTTTACGTTTTCTCTTCACTCAGTTGCTTTCCAAAAGACACCGCGGTACAACTTCATTTCAAAATGAAGGCTTCTGTTTGGACCCTAAGTGTGCTACTCTTCCTACTAGGCATTGGTCACTGCAAAGGAGGACAGGTCAGAATTAAAAAACTAACCCAAAGGAGATATCCCCGTGCCACAGAGAGTAAAGAGGAAGCAAAGAAATGTTCATACACGTTCTTGGTACCTGAACAAAAAATAACAGGGCCAATATGTGTCAACACCAAAGGTCAAGATACAGGCACTATTAAAGACATGATCACCAGGATGGACCTGGAGAACCTCAAGGATGTGCTTTCCAGGCAGAAACGAGAGATAGATGTCCTGCAGTTGGTGGTAGATGTAGATGGGAACATTGTAAATGAGGTAAAGCTGCTGAGGAAGGAAAGCCGGAACATGAACTCACGAGTCACTCAACTCTACATGCAACTTTTACATGAGATCATCCGTAAAAGAGATAATTCACTCGAACTTTCCCAGCTGGAAAACAAAATCCTCAATGTCACCACAGAAATGCTGAAGATGGCAACAAAGTACAGGGAACTAGAGGTGAAATACGCTTCCTTGACTGATCTCGTCAATAACCAGTCTGTGATCATCACTGTGCTGGAAGAGCAGTGCTTGAGGATATTTTCTCGACAGGACACCCATGTGTCTCCCCCTCTTGTCCAGGTGGTACCACGACACATTCCTAACAGCCACCAGTACACCCCTGGTTTGCTGGGAGGCAATGAGATACAGAGGGACCCAGGTTACCCCAGAGACTTACTGCCATCACCTGATGTGGCAACAGTGCCCACAAAAAGCCCATTCAAGATTCCAGCCATAAATTTCATCAATGAAGGTAAGTTATCATTTACTGGTCAAAGGGAAGAATGAAGCTAGCACGGTATATGATTAGTGCAACAATACTCTTAGTAAGACCTTGTCTTTGTGTGATGGTATCATACATGTTTAATCAAAATTTCAATTTTAAAAGTAATATTAGAATATCTCTCTTCTCCCTGCTCTAAGTTTATAGGTGCTTATAATTTTTTTTTTCTGTGAAAAAAGTACTCTTCCACCCCAATTCTTACAATGGAGGTTGCCATCAATGAGAATGACCTGATATGAAGGAACTCACTCTGCACCCTGAGCCTGCAGCCAGCCTGGTCTCCTCCCTGCCCTGCAGAATCCTTTCTGCTTTCTCTTGTGCTCTGGCCGTTTTCCTTTTACTTAACAAAAATCTAAAGAATACCAAGCATCTTTTTAAAAATGTTCACCAAACAGCCTAATAAGCAGAAATAAACCGTAAACATTTTAGTCACTTCCTTTTCCTCTTATAAAATGGTAATCAGTATTTGTTTAATCTTAAAAAAACAACTTTATCTCCCCAAGATTATATTCTTAGGACAAATTTCTCTAAGTGAGACTGACAGACTTTTGTGTCCCATAAACACAGTCACGTGAATTCAGAGCCCAAACAGCTGACTTAGACTCAAGTAACCCACTGGAGTGCCGGAAGAGAGACAGTGTCACCAGCTGTGGTGTGCCCGCGCCTCACTTTCCTCATCTGCAATGGGAGGAACAGTGTTAGGACGGGGCTCAGGGTTTAACAAAGTGTGAACAGCACTGCCTGGCACCCATGCTGGTTCCTGCCAAGAACGTCTAACTGCCTGCTAACTGCCACCAACAGTTATTCCATCACAATATACTCTACACTGGCAATAAGCCTCGTTTGTAAAGTACACATACACCATCAATTCTCTGCAAAAAGGAAGTCTCATTTTTCTCATTTTCCTTTCATGTGTTTCCTTCATAAAAACTTGTTCCAATAAAGCAAATCCACATACTTTCTTCTAATATTCTGTGACTTCTGCTCATTCAAATGATATGGTTGAGATCAAATGAATGAATGGATGTTGCAAACTGAAGGTCCTTCTTGAAGCCCTCGTTGACCTCCATAGACCTGAAGTAGTTGTTTATATTCACAAATACCTCTACTGGCTGTAATGCATGCATTTCTTGAGTTATATTATTTTTATAAGTACCCACAGCCCATCTAAGTAAAATGCATTCCAAACTATAAGCTCATTTCTAGCAGATGGATAGTGTTATCTCAACTGTAGATACTAAACATTAGATGATAACACAGAGCCTCTGAAAGTGATCAGTTCAAAGACACTTATGAAAATAAAAGTGTTAAGAGTATCATTAAATTAATTTTCAAAGACATGCACAAAAGTATGCAGTGGACTTTTCAAACATGTTTCATTAATCCTTTAAGGCATGATTTATCAGTATACTAGTTTCTACCTAATTTATAGATTAAAATATTTGAGGTGTATTTTATTAAGCTATGATAGCTTCAATTATAGAAGTATAGAAGCAACTGCTGTTGGGTTTTCTAAGTAGATCCTGAAATTTAAATCAATGGCATCATCAATTTTAGCAGAAATAAAGATGCATGTATTTATAACAAACCAAAAAGTGCTTTACAGAATGAAAACATCAGTTCTAGTTTTTTTTTTTTTTTTTTTCATACACTGAGCTACAGTACAAAAAAACTCATAGGATTAAGTGCATGCCAAGGACTTGGCATGCCCCGTTCCCTAAAGTGTGTCTCATGAGAGCGAGAAACATGTGTGCACACAGCAGTCCTAAGAAGCCAATCTTTAATGTCAAAATTAAGGCATAGAGATAATTCTTATTTTAAGTAAACATTAGCTCCAGTTTTAATCTATAACCAAGAGGAGAAAAAGTGCTAATTTTATCCATGTCTTCTAGAAAGTAATTTGAACTAAAATTTTCTGAGGTTTTGTATCAATTAAGCCTTACAGATATCTAAACTGTAAACACATAGTTCACTGTTCAAAAATGGAATGGATTAGTAAAGTTAGAGAAAAATTTGCATGTATTAGAAATGTTATTGAATGAAAACTGAACTCAGATAACCTAGAATTCTTCAATTTATTTAAACATCTTTTTGTTGTTTTGTTTTTCGAGACAGGGTTTCTCTGTGTAGCCCTGGCTGTCCTGGACTCACTTTATATAGCTCAGGCTGGCCCTGAACTCAGAGATCCACCTCCCTCCATCTCCCGAATGCTGGGTTTACAGATGTGTGCCACCATGTCTGGCTTTATTTAAACAGCTGTTAAATAGCAGGAAAAAAATACATAGTTCTCTGGTATTTAACAAACACAGGTTAAAAAAACAAACAAACAAAAAAAAAAACCTGCCTGATATAGAAATCTTTACAGAGCCTCCAAATCTGAAATTTTTGAGTGCTGGCAGTAAGGTTTTAAGTAGCAAAGTTTAGTCTCAAATCCAATGGGCACAATTCAGGACACTCCTGTCCCGGCTTCTAGATGAGGGCTACTTAGCCTGGCTGCTGTCACCATCCTGAGCACTTTTAAGTATGCATTTGCATAAAATGAGAACCGTCGCACTGTGCCCTTGTGAAGTCAGAGAGGGCAGTCACAGGGCATGGAGCCTATCTAGAAAGGAGTATTTATGTGCCCTGCCCGTGAAGTGCCTCATGTGACATTAAGTACCACCAGGCCTTAACACAAGAATTTAAAATAAAGTATGTTCCTTAGACACCCTAACTTGCTTAAAAGCATCAATTCAGGAACAAAATGTGGCTAACTTTAGAAATTCCAGAACCGTTTTCAAAGTAAGGCTATCAAGCACTGGGGCAGTTTCTGGCCCACCTGACAGACTGTAAACATCATCCTGTCATTTATATTTCAGACATAGACTCTTACAACAGCTGTCTAAGTCTAAATACACTTCAGTATGCAGCCCCCATGTGGCTTACATGAGGCCCCTGAACTCCCTACAGCCTAACTCACTCTACTCAGCTTAGACACAGGAAGACAGCAAACTCCTGCTCAAATCTCGGCTATGCTCCCCTTGAAACCTCATCTAAATGCTTTGCCACACTGTATCAGAACTAACCTTTTCTTATCACTTCTCTCTCATACCACCGAATCTCTGGGCCTGGAAAATAGTCTAGCCTGTACTAGATTCAGAAAAGGTAATTCTTTTAAATTAAAAAATTCTTTCATTTGTATGTCTGTGTGTGATTAAGGAAGAGGAAAAGGGGGTGACATCAGTACCCATGCGGTTATCCCCGTAACAGTGTTTTGTGCCACATGTAATGCAGCAGGATGCAAAGCACTCTGTTATTTTTTGTGCATGAATTTTTACAACTTGAGGGTTTTCAGTCATGTCTTACTAATCTCTGACTAGCTGTCCCGAATGTCTCAATCTGCATGCGTGTGTTAAATGAAGCTCTGAAGACATCTAGTACATTACTCCTGCACGTGAAGATTAGGGACAGAAGGGAAAATGGACTGACAAGCACTGCTAACTATGACTGTTAGGTAGCTGCTGTGTTCTGAGCAGAGAGAAGCACAGTGCATATACCCAGTTCCAACACTTGAGAGGCTGCAGCACGAGGATCTGGAGATCAAGGCCTACCTCTAAAAAGGGAAAAGAAAGAGGAACCTTCGAGTACCTTGACTGAGAACCCCCAAATCCACTTCTGACTTAAAAAGAAAAACGCTTCCTAGGATTCCCTGCACTCTGCTCAAAGGTTGGCCATAAGCCTCAGCATCTGCATGGTAGTCTGCAGGGCAGAGCCTTTCAGAGGTCCTCTGTGTCAGGCTCCTGACTTGTTCCCTCTTTTCTCCTTCTTCTGATGTCCATCCTCTTTGCCTTTCTGGATAGGGATTGAACATTTTAGCAAGAGTCCTCCCTCTTGATTAGTTTCTTTAGGTGTACAGATTTTAGTAGGTTTTTCCTATATTATATGAGTGAGTATATACCGTGTGCGTCTTTCTGCTTCTGGGATAGCTTGCTCAGGATGATCCTTTCCAGATCCCACCGTTTACCTGCAAGTTTCATGATTTCCTTGTTTTTCATTGCTGAGTAATATTCCATTGTGTAGATGTACCACAATTTCTGTATCCATTCCTCCACTGAGGGGCATCTGGGCTGTTTCCAGCTCTTGGCTATTACAAATAAGGCTGCTACAATCTTATGAAAGAAGTGGGAAGCAGTATGATCTGGAGAGGACAGGAACTCCACAAGGAGAGCAACAGAACCAAAAAATCTGAGCACAGAGGTCTTTACTGAGACTGATACTCCAACCAAGGACTATGCATGGAGATAACCTAAGACCCTTGCACAGATGTAGCCCATGGCAGTTCAGTATCCAAGTGGGTTCCATTGTAATAGGAACAGGGACTGTCTCTGACATGAACTGATTGGCCTGCTCTTTAATTACCTCCCCCTGAGGGGGAAGCAGCATTACCAGACCACAGAAGAAGACAAGGCAGCCACTCCTGATGAGGCCTAATTGACTAGGATCAGAAGGAGGGAAAGACCTCCCTTATCAGTGGACTTGGGGAAGGGCATGTGTGCAGAGGGTTGGAGGAAGGGAGGGGTTGGGTCAGGAGGAGGGAGGGAACCACAGGGGGGATACAAAGTGAATAAAGTGTAATTAATAAAGAATAAAAAAAATTAAAAAATTATAATAATAATAAAAAAAGAAAAACGTTAAGCCAGTTATGGCAACAAGGGCTGCACTTCCAGCATCTGGGAGATGGAGACAGGATGGTTGTGATTTTAAAGACAAGCTTGTACTACACCACAAGTCCCAGGCCAATTTGGGCTATACGGTAAGATACCATCTCAAAATAAATAACAACCTCAGCAAACTGGGGATGCATAAACTAGAGTTAAAAAAAATATTTTAAAGCAATTATCCTTGAGGCCTTCATACTGGACACAAAAATAAGGAGAAAAATAAGAGAAAAAAGAAGCCAATGAAACAGTGTAAAAAAAAACATATATGCAATACCTGGTGTTACTTAAAAATTTTTTTCCAGATTATTATTTACTAGTAATCTATAGTATAGACACTGGTAATTTTGAAAAAGTTACATATGAAATAGAAAAATATGGAACAGAAAATCTGACACTCACTTTTTACATATAGTTTTCATTTCTTTTTATTTAAAATGAAAATGAACTTGACTGATGCCCAGCTAAAACACTAAGACATGAAGTCTAAAGAACAAGTGTCTCCATTTTCAAGAGGCAACAAAGAAGGAAGAGCTCACATTCCCTAAGAGTCCCCTTCAATGAGACACACTACAGTGTTTACAGCACAGTATTAATAACATTTGTTAACAGAAAAGACAATACAAAACTTTGTGTTTTAGGAACCCAAATTTATAAAATACAAAGCAGAGAAGAGTGGGAAATGAAACAAGTTAATGCTTTGAACAGTGGAACTGATGTCGCCTTTCATTTAGTTTTAATATATCTCTTAGTTTCTTTAACTTATAGAGAGCATTGTGTATAGATAAAAATCTGTAAGGAGGACATGAAGGTAAGACTCTTGGTTTAATAACTTTTCATGCTTATCTTTTACATTTCTCAATAATCAACATTTAAATTACAGGACCATTCAAAGACTGTCAGCAAGCAAAAGAAGCTGGGCATTCAGCCAGTGGAATTTACATGATTAAACCTGAAAACAGCAATGGACTGATGCAGCTTTGGTGTGAGAACAGTTTGGATCCTGGGGGTTGGACTGTTATTCAGAAAAGAACAGATGGCTCTGTCAACTTCTTCAGAAACTGGGAAAACTATAAGGTAAACGAGTCAGTTCAGACCCAGGGAGGGTAGACACAAGCAGGCCTTGCAATAGTGACCATGCGAGTCAGACTGAGACACGCGGTTAAAAATGTAGCTATCCACATGATTTTCATTTTCTAGCTACAGGGCTACTCTCCTCTCTAGCTGTACAGCCACAGGTAAAATGCGAAAAGAAAACTAGGGATACCCCTTAAAATTCTCTTGCGTCTGGATAACTTATACATACATACACGCGCTCTACAAAGATAGTTCCACTTTGAGACTTTAATATCTATCTATCTATCTATCTATCTATCTATCTATCTATCTATCTATCTA